TTCTTAATTAGAGGATTGGGATATGAGTTTGATGGGAGAGGGCTTAGCAACAGTGATGCAAAAAAATGGGGCTTTTAAAACATTTAAAATTGCAGAAATATGAAAGAAACAAGTTCAGATGAAAGCAGAGCCAAAGAGAACATTTGTGAAAGTAACAGGTGGAATCATATACTTTTAAAAATAAAAAACAGCCTGAAATGGAGACTCATAATTAAATATATAATCCACTTTTGTGTTCTGCTGTGTATATGGAAGTGGTAACTTGTAGGGGTGTGTAAGTACAGAATAATTTTATTTTAAGCAAAAGGAACAATTTCCCAACATATATACTACCACAATTGCTCTCACTCATTTTAAAATGGTCACGCAAGATGGGACTTTGCTGCTGGCGAATCCCACGGATGTCATGAGGCACCTTCACCAACTTGTAATCACAGAATGCAAATCCAACTGTGTGAAACTCCCACAGCCCTGCATTAGGCAGGGACTGATCCCTGACCCTGAAGTCTTACCATGTAGGCTACAGAGAACAGTTCATAAATGACAGCCTGGGCTTCAGCATGTCATATTAATCATTCTGAGAAAAAAGGACATAGTTACATTTTTCTGGTTAATTTGAACAAATATTATCTTTGTGGAGAGAAGGTTTGTCCTAATTCAGAAGCTGAAAGGATGCAAACTACTTAACTGTTCAGAAATACAAAGCTAGTAAGTTGTGATGCCCCTGGCATCACGGGGCAAGTGCCTATTTGAGGCCTCACATACTCCTTTAAAGGGAGAAGTTCTTAGGTAAACATATTGTGTGTAATACTGCCATCTTTTGTTACCTACTGGGCATGACCTGCCCTGAAGCAAGAAACATAAGGCCCAGAGCAATCAGATTTAAAGTGGGACTCTGCCAAGGCCATCCTGTTCCTTTTATCCATTCATAGAAGGCAGGAAAAATGAATGAGAATCCATGCACATCTCCTAAAAAAATTGCAGAAGCATCCACCGGAGATAAGACTTTCCCTAGCTCCATAAATAATCTCATTCTCCACCTCTCCTACAGTTTGCCATAGCTCTCATGTGAAAGAACACAGGTACACAGGTGTAGCCAATACCTAAAGGTGACTGTATAAACGCAGGATGTGTCTATGCTCTGAAAAAAACAGACCAAAGAAAAGGTCAACTCAGCATTTTGAGTTGTCTTAAATTCAGATGAGCTCTGTATGATTTTGCAGAAGCTAACTACTAAGGAGCACTCAACTTGGCTAAAATAATCTGTCAGTTCTAAGGCCATCTAGAGACACAGACGCAAACACCCTTGGAGATCTAACACAAGATAGAAGGAAACAGAGGCAGGATTTATATTTCTTTAAGGCTCTAGAGACGCATTGATCTGCTTAGCTGTTGAGAGATGCATATTTTGGATTGTGGACTAACCTCTGAGAAAGGTTCTGACCCCAAAGGTCCACCACTCAATACACACCATAAGCATGCTGGGAACAGCTAACTACGTAAAAGCACCCCGTTCTTGAAAGCACTCAGCAGACTAATCTGGGGAAGAGGAGGGAAGCCTGGCTCCAAGGTTCACTTCTCATGATCCGAGTTCTCTTTCTCTAGACGACAGGACTGTGTACAGTCTGTTACTCCGAATTTCATCATGTAAAAGTCCCACAAGCAGTGAGTCTTTAACAGTCACTGTCACGACAGACTCAACTTTCAGGGGCGTTTGTCCTTTTGCAAAATGTGAGCCCCAGATGAGGCCCTGGCCCAAAGGCGGTGCTGGATGCCTCGGTCACATGACCCAAAAGACCAAGCCTAAATCATGGGCACCGATGGCAGAGAAGCCAGGACACCTTTCTGAGTGTTCCTTCTTTTCATTAGTATACCTATCCTATCCTATCCTATCCTATCCTATCCTATCCTATCCTATCCTATCCTATCCTAAAAGCTGACCAAGATTCCTAAGTGCTAAAGGCAAGAGATGAATATTAAGCTCCATAAGCAATGCACTGGTGCATTTAGATCCTTGTTCACTCATCCTTAACTGTTACTCAATTCAACTCACATTTGTTAACTGCCAACTATGGGCAAGGCCCAGGGCTGGGTTCTAGAGATACAAAGACCAAAATAGCAGCACCTTCCCTCCAGGAGCTCCCATTGTATATGGACGCTGGCTTCGTTGACCCCCTTTGCCTCATGTGCTATTACAGAGTACCTCGTCCTCCTGGATGTGCTCTTCTCTTCAGCTCCTCCCTGGTTCTTCTCTGGTCCATTGGGCCCTTCTTCCTCAGCATCCTTTAGTGAGCCTTCATCTACATCCCCCTCCTTTAATGGGGTGCCCCTCCCTCAAGGTTCTGTTCCCAGCCCTCTTCCCTTCTCTCTATCATTTCTCACATCACCTCCCATACAGGAGCATCATTTCAAGATCAGCACCTGAAACAGTACCTAACACATAGTAGGCACTTAATGGTGGGTTGTTGTGTCCTTCATTCTGAAAGAGGACCAAAACGACATCACTATGTTAGAGTGAGGTGACAATGCTTCCGACTGAGCTTGGCATGCTGTGGCATAGGTTGGGCACAAATAGTCTGTGTGAACATTTGAGGCGGATTGTCTAAATTTGCACGTCTTGTGTTTCTTTGGAGCTATTTCAGTTCTGCTTTGCTCATAGAGCACAGCCCCTTCTCTGACAAGGGCACACCATGCTGGGAGGTCCCGTGCCGGGGTCTCCCATGTCACACAACCAATTCCAAAGTGTGCCTGCTCTCTAGCTCTTGGACCTTAAGTATCCTGCTCTTTCAGCTCTTTGGGTCTAGCCATCTCTAACACGTTCCTTCAACCGAAGGCAGGAAAGAATTGACATAGCAGATACAGAAGCATTAGCAGGGTAGAGCACTCCCACGCCCCGGCCCAGGAGGGGAGATTCAAGGCCTGCCTTCACCCACCTCACTTGTAGTCACAGAGGAAAGGACACATTCACTGTTGTCTCAGCAGCCACATTAAAAGGCCACCTGCTTCCTTACACTCAGTCATAGAATACCTGAGGTGTGTTCCAAAGTTGAGCGCTAGTCATCCCATTATACATGCCCAGGACAGAATCACTAAATATCCTTGTTGGGGATTCACCCCAGTGCCCAGGGCCAACTCCTAAGGATTATGCTCTCATTGGGGGGTTCCCCAATATCCCTTAGAATATAAATACACTTTTCCCCCTAATGATTCTTGACCATTTTTTAAATTGATGACTTTTGCTGTTCAGATCTCCTAAGCAGACACTGCATGGAGCACAAAAGTCACAGAATATTAGTGTGGCTCTTCAGTTGTGTCCAACTCCTCATAACCCCATTTTGGGGTTTTCTTGGCAAAGCTACCGGAGTGCTTTGCCATTTTCTTCTCCAGCTCATCTTACAGATGAGGAGAATGAGGCAAACAGGGTGAAGTGGCTTGCCCAGGGACATAGCTAGTAAGTGTCTGAGGCTGAATTTGAACTCAGGGAGGTGTCTTCCTGATTCCAAGCCCAGTAGCACTCTATCCACTGAGCCACCTAGCTGCCCCAGAATATTAGGATCCTCATTTTAATGTTTAACAAAAATAAGCTGGAATTTTTCTTTGAGCTGTGGTCCTCAGACTTCCAAGTTGTGAAATTGATTTACCCTAGTTCAGGCCTTCATCACCTCTTGCAGCAGACTTCTAACTGGTTTCCTTGCCTGAAGTCTCTCTCCCTACTCCTATATATCTTCCATTCAACTACCAAAGTGATTCTTAATCTAAAGTAATAAGCTCTTATGGCTCACTATTACCTCTTGAAGTCAGTTATAATCTCCCCTGTTTGGCATCTGAAGCTCTTCATAACCTGCCTCAAGTCTTCTCTGTGCACCCTGCAAGTTGGCTACACTGGCCTGTGTTTGCCCCTGGCTGCTCTTCCTTGGCTGGCCCTGCCTGGGCCTCTCGGGGTGCCCTGGCTTTCTTCAAGATTCCTCTTAAATTCTACCACCCACAAGACGTCTTTCCCAGGCCTCCTCCATGCTGATGCATCCTCTCTTAGAATACCTTTCATCTTCTCTGTAAATATCTTGAAGGTATCTAGTTATTTATGTAACCTTCTTTATTAGAATGGATATTCCTTGAAGGCAGGAATTTTTTTTGGGGGGGGTTGCCTTTTGTTTATTCTCTGACCTTAGCAGAGTGCACATAGTAGGCAGTTCATAAACACTTGTTGACTAACTTTCTAAAAGAGAACCTACTTTTGGAAGATCCCATCATGGAAGGCGATTTTCTCTTGAAAATTGACTAACAGCTTTAGTGTTTAGAGATATGGACTACACCTGTGATTCCATTTATTTATTATTATTTATTCATTCATTCATTCAAAAACTCCTGGGTAGGGAAACTCCAACCAATGTAGCTGTTTTCTCTGTAACTTCAGAGAGCGAGTCCAGGGTCACACAGTATGTGTCCAAAGTGGGACTTGAGCTCAGGTCTTCCTGGCTTCGAGGCCAGTCCTTTGTTACTCAGCATTTATGTATTTTGGGGTCATCTTAAAAAACAAACACTCCCAATTCTGAAGCATATCGATTATGTGATCCTGGGCAAATCATTTCACTTCCAGGAATGCTGCAGGATGGCTGCAGATCGAAATTGGAAGAGAAAATTTCCTCACCCGGAGTTCCCTATATGATGAAATCCAACTCTGGATCTAAACCTCTCCTGTCTGTGTACCAAGGATGGCAACTCAGCTTAGCCTTCAAACCCTCTTCCTCCTGTAATCCTTCCCTCTCCTCTACCTATTTTTTTATTTTTCCCACTTTTAAGCCTTCATGTTCTGGAGCACTAGCCCTCACTAGCAGAATCCAGCTTAAAACTCACCTTGGTACACTATTCTTCTCTCATGAAACCACCCATCCACTGCCTTCAGTTTTTTTTTCCCGCATTCTCCCTTCAGGAGCTAGGCTATGGCTCTACCCTCAGTGTATGCTTAGTCATTGCGGACAAACCAACTCAGTCAGAACACGAAGGGAGAAGAAAGATTTATTGAGAGAGAAGGGTTTTGAAAACTGATTTTTAAGATTTCCATAAGCCCTTCAAAGTGCATGGGTTTATGCTTTCCAGAAAAACAAAAACAGCAAGCCACCATATTAGCAGAGTATGCTACACAAACAGTAACCGAGGTTCTTCTCCAAGTCATTGACGGATAAGTTGACAGGAGAGCCTTTCAGAGAAAGGGGTGGGACCAGGGTCCCGGTCCAGCTCAGCTCCTATTCTTCAGGCAGGCAATAGGTACTTGCCCTGTCAATTCTCAAAGGACATCCACAGATACAGCAGAGTCAGATCTGGAACCGGAAGGGACCTCTGAGGCCGGCCTCTCCATTTTACAGATGAGGAAACTGAGACCCACAGAGGTCTCCTGAGAGAGGCAACACAATTTGTTCAATGTTCCACAGACAGCAGTAGTAGTGAGTGGCAGAGCCAGGGATTCAAACTCGGGTCCTCTTGACTCCAGACGCAGCGTTCTTTCTGCTGCCCATGAAGCCTGTCCTTTTAGCTGGCGGCTGATTACTACCACCTTTGGGGGAAGGGGGAAGGAGATTTACCGATGATTCCTTCATTGGCTCATATGAGAAATGGGAGTCATTTTCCATCAGTCCCTTGACTCGTGGCTATGTTCCTGTGTAGAGCCGGACCAAAATGCCCATCACCAAGATTAAAACGGCTGCGAGGAGGGCCAGCACCCTGCGGAGGACCAAGTCTTTCAAAGATAAGGCGCGGTTTTTCGAATGGGGCTGGGAAAGGGGCTCCTCCGGCTTCACTGGCTGTTCTGCCTGGCTCTCCCCTTTGTCCACGACATCGCCTGCATCTCCCAGTAAAACACCAGCCTGATGCTCTGAGTCCACTACAAGAAAAAGGAATGTAGTCAGTCTGGCAAGGGTGCGAGTAACTCTCTTCCAAACTTCTAAAAGGATCATCGATCTAAAACAAACCTTGGAGGTTTTACAGATGAGGAAACTGAGGCCCAGTAATCTGCCCTATTATTTGTGATATTATTCTCCCATTTTACAGATGAGGAAAAAAAATGAGGCAGACGGAGATTAAGTGACTAGCTCAGGGTCACCCAACTAGCAAGTAACAGCTAGGAAATTAGATAATCCACAAAATTTGTACTCGTGTAGGAGGCAGCTAGGTGGTACAGTGGGTAGAGCGCTGAGCCTGGAGTCAGGAAGATTATCTTCCTGAGTTCAAATCTGGCCTCAGTCACTTACTAGCTGTGTGACCCTGGGCAAGTCACTTAACCTTGTCTGCTTCGGTTCCCCATCTGTAAAATGAGCTGGAGGAAAAAAAATGGCAAACCACTCCAGTATCTTTGCCAAGAAAATGCAAAACGGGGTCATAGAGAGTAGGGCATGACTGGAAAATGACTGAACAGCAACAGGAGAGACTAAAGGGGAGCTGGGACCTGGAGCTTTTTGAGTTTGGAGTGCCACCTGATGGTTTAAACAGGGATTGCATTCTGAATACTCTGGCCTCCACATCTTGCCTTTCTACTCTCCATGCCGGGAAAGGTAAGGACCCTTCCGGTTAAGAGAAGGCCACATGGAGCTTTCTAGGTCCTTGGGTGTGGCCTTTTGACTGAGTCCGAGTTTTACAGAACAAATCCTTTTATTAAGGGGATTCAGTCAAAGTGCCGCACTCGGGGGCCTAGAGGGCCACATGTGGCCTCGAGGCTGAAGGTTCCCCACCCCGGCTGATACCTTATATTGGTATTTATTTATGCAGGTCTATATTGTACTGTCCCTCCCCCTCAGTAGAACATAAGCTCCTTAGAGAGCAGCAGTACCTACCATCCGCCAATGTCCAAACTTCAGAAGCTTTAGTGCTTTGAGATTCAGTGACTTGCCCAGGTCCACCCAGCTACTAAGGGTCAGAGGCAGGATCTGAACCCAGATCTTCCTAACTTCAAGCCCACCCTATGCCATGACTAACAGTTACAGCCCTTTAATGGGTAATTCACGGTCTCAGAACTAGACGAGGTCCACAAACACGAGGGTCTGGACGGGCCAGTTCAGCAGGCAGGGACGGTGAGTCATACCTGATAGGATTGGGCCCTGATAGATGACCTGATCCTGCTGGTTCCGGGTCCTGGTCGCTTGACCCTTCAACTTGGCACGCACTCGAGCCTGAAAAGGGAAAGTCAGAACCAATCCCTGACCCTGCTCGGCAAGACGTTCCCTGGAGGGTTTTCACTGGACGCTTGACTCGGGAAAGCCAGCTCAGGCAGCGCCTTTCCTTTGCTTCCAAGGTATCCGTCATTTCCCCTGGGAGGCCTGGAGCTGGCCAGACTTGAGGCAGTGATACAGACACCACCCCGCTATCAGAGGACACGGCAAGTTATTCTCCCTCCCCAGGCTGAATTCTGTGTTCTCTGAGACCCCTGCAGGCTCGAAATCTGTGCTCCTCAAATCTATGCTCTTTCTCAAAGTTTGAAACAGAAGTGGGGAAAAGGAATCAGGATGGGTTCTCTCTTCCGTCAAGGGTTCCCTTAACCTTCCAGCTTCTCAGGGTCATTCTCAACTCTTTCCTCTCTCTTAGCCCCTTGTAGTCAATCAGTTACCACATCCTGTCATTTCTGCCTCCACGCTCTAGAGCATGTGTCCCTTTCTCTCCACCCACACAATCCTCTCCCTCCTCAATCATTTCAGCAGTCTCTTCCTTGGTCTCTTCCCTTTCCAGTCCATCCTTGGCACCGGAAGTGCCAAACACACCACAGGCCAGAACCAGATGAAAATGGAATTGGGAAATATTTAACAAAATAAATACAAATACAATAGGATGTAGATAATGTTGACATGTGGTTTTCTAAGTCAGTCCACAGCATTCAGGGATATTTATGTAAGGTTTATTGTCCCCTTCCTCCTAGGTGATATCTCAGGTACCTTGCAATTTTAAATTTAGAATCTAGCTTTTCTCCTTCCTGGGCCTCAGTTTCCTTATTTGTGAAATCAGGGGTTGAACCAGTTAGCTAAGTCCCTTTCCAGATCTAAATCTATGTGATTTTTACTAGGCCTTAGGATCTTTAGCTGTGAAATGAAAGGGTTAAATTAGAAAGCTTCTATGGTCTCTTTCTAGGCTTAAATCTATGCTCTGAGATCTCTCCTCTCTAAATCTCAGTTTACTCATCTGTAAAATGGAAAGATTGAATGTTGGAAGAGGTTAGATGGCTTCAAAGGTCCTTTCGATCTGTGATTTTAAAGTCTCTGATCTTTCCCAAAAGTTTAAATGGCAGAGATAAAGAAAAGGAATTGGGAGATTTGTTAAAAATTGCTCCCTCGAGGCAGCTAGGTGGCGCAGTGCCAAATCCGGCCTCAGACACATAACACTTACTAGCTGTGTGACCCTGGGCAAGTCACTTAACCTCCATTGCCCAACGGAAAAAAAAAATAAAGCAAAAAATTAAAAATTAAAAAAAAATTAAAATAAAATAAAAATTGCTCCCTCCTATCTTGACTTTCACCCTGGTACTCACCCTAATCTTTAACATGCTAACCTGGAAGGGAGGAGGGAGGGGAAAGAGCTGAAGGACTGTCACAGATCACATCAGTAAGGCTTGGGACCATTAGAGATGATGGCGGATAGGTTCCTACGTCTCCCCCCAAAGTCAAACTCTGTTCTGCCTTATTCCTGAGATTCTCCTTTCCAGAGCATTCGCAGCTGGTGCCCACCCTATATTTTTCTGACCAATGGGTAAACAAAGGAGGGCAGGCCTTAACCTGTCCATCTGGCTGTCTACACCAGCCTCCATGCCAGGGAAAACAAGAGACAAGTCAATCTCAAAAGGAGAAAAAGGTCTTCCAGAAGGAGGGCGAGACAGAAGAATGCTGCCTTGTTGACATTCTCCATGGGGAGGCGTTTGTGGGAATGAATCATGAGCAGGGTTACCTCTTCACTGGCCTTTCCCCAGTTCAAGCGTAAGATGAAGCCCAGAAAGCAGACGGCTTGCAAGATGGAGCAGATGATGATGCCCGACCACAGGCCTAGAAAGGGAAACATAAGCAAATACCAATCTCATTTATGGAAAACCTGCTCATCTCTTGGTCAGTTTGTCCTACAAGTTAGTGGTGGGTGGTACAATGGAGAAAGATTTGGAGTCAGGGGAAAGAGGTTCAAATCCAGAAGCTGCCACTTAGGACTGCCACTGTATGACCTTGGGCAAGTCACTAAGACTCTCTAAGGTTGCAATTTCCTTGCCGGAAAAGGAAGGTGTTGAACTAGATGACCTCTGAGGTCCTTTTCAACTCCATATGGAGGGCAGGTTCAATTCGACAATTCAGTTAACCATTATCAGCTGCCAGTGAGGCCCTAGGCACCAGGCTGAGAAGAGGGTCAAGTAAAACAAGACCCGATCCTTGCACTTTAGGAAGTTCACACTGTATTTGGCTGTTGACCTAGGCCATATAGGAAGCATTTATGTAGGAACTTGAAGGCGGAAGAATGCTTTATCCGTGGCATTCCAGTTGTTCCTCACAACAACCCTGGGAAACTGGTGCTACAATTATCATTTTGAAGATGAGGAAAATGAGGGTGAAAAACGACTTGCCCAGGGTTCCTCAGCTGGTGTCTGAGGCAGGTCTTCCTGACTCCAAATCCTGACCCACAACCTTGCCATCTGCCCTGCCACTGCCACCCTGATTCTCCCTACCGGGAAGAAGCCTGCTTCTGGAATGGACTCCCAGAAAACACGCCCTCTTTTTCCCCCTGGGAAGTGAATCCACTGAGATTGGAACACCTCCCCTGGGTCCATCGGTGATTGAGCGAGCGCAAAGCTGCAGCGGGCTTGAGACTAGATCATGCTTCCTATTTTGTCTCGCCACCCCACCATCGCCTCAGTCTCCCCACTTCCCATCTCTTCCTTAGAGCACAGTAATCAAATCAGCATTGTTGTTGCTTGTGGAAAGGGTATGACAACTAACGGCTGGTTCATCATCTCTCTGTGATTCTTCAGACCTCTCCTTATTGTCCGTATATACTATTATCCCCTTTCAGAATGAATTAACAAATGAAAAATACATTCATTAAGCACTTCCTATGTGCAAAGTACTGTGCTAAACTGGGGATGCAAATAAGAAAGAAAGACGTCCTGTCCTCAAGGAGTTCCCATTCTAATGGAGGAGATATGGAAGGTTCCATTGCAATTCAGAAAAGTCCCAGGGCTCTTAGGGGGCAGCAACAAAGCCTCTTTTAAAATGTCATTTTCACTGAAAAAATCTTGTTGATTTTTGATGATGAGCCATTTGACAAGGCCAAGGACTCTGGTAACAAGAACCCTTTCTGGGTCTTTGGTGGCTGCGGCTGTAGCCCCTGCAGGAGAAGTGGCCAGGCTGCATCTCCACAGGGGCCGCTTCCCAGGCTGATGGCTGCGGACCCCAGGCTGGAGGCACAGCTATTCCCGAGGCTCTTGGGTTCAGGGGCCTGGACTGTCTCCATCAGGATCGGAAGGCAGATGGTGGTCAAGGTGGCGGTGGTGGTGGTTTGCATTGCCTGGCCCTGCTGCCTCCTGTCTCTCCCCCAGGGTGCCCTGGTGCCTTAGCCAGGCTGGTCTGCCTGCCCTGTGTGTGGTAGCTGGCAGGCTGGCTGGCCCTTTCTCTGTGGCAGTTACTTGCCAGGACACTGGCTGTGAGGGCTGAGCAAGAAGCAGGACTGGTCATCTGGGGAGAGGGGTGCAGGGTTCTCCCACCTGACAGTTGGTGGCATTGGTCTGGGTTTCTCGTGGGAGAAGGAGGGGTGATGACGAATATGACCTCCTTGAAGGAAAGGACTGTCTCGTTTTTTTGTATGTATTTTTGTGTTTTGGTTTTTTTTTTTGTATTTTGTATTTATGTCCCTAGCCTCCAGCCCAATGACTGGCATGGAGCAAGCTCTTAATAAATGTCCATTCATTCTTTACAGCTTAGTAGGGGAGGTAAGACAAGTTCCAATGAGGCAGAGCACTAGGTGGCTCAGTGGATAGAATGCTGGGCCTGGAGTCAGGAAGATGCGAGTTCAAATCTGACCTCAGATAGCTACTAACTGTGTGACCCTAGGCAAGTCACTTTAACCTCCATCTGCCTTGGTTTTCCTCATTTGTAAAAAGGGGGCAATATTAGCACCTAAGGGGGACCAAATGAGATAATATTTGTAAAAGTGCTTTATAAATGCTATCTATCACTATCATTGTCAAGTATAACACAAAGCAGAGGGTAAGAAGTGTAAGGGACAAGACAGCCAAAAGGAGGACTCAGTTACCGGGTGAGCCTTCACTCATGCTTCCTCACCCTCAGCCAAGAGAAGCCAGGCCTGGGGCCAGGTGGCTCTCCGATTTCAGTAACAGAGATATTTTTGGCCTCGCAGCTGCGGTGTCTGCCAAAGGTTACCAACAGCAGACCCCGAAAGGTGCCAGGCCGGAGGAGAATTAGGTTTCCAGGGATAAACTATCCCAATAAGAAGAACTGGCAACTGCTCTGTTTTCCTAAAAAGGGTGGGTGGGGGTGGGGATGGTGGTGGGGAGAGATCTAGTGACAGCGTGAGGTGTAAGCGAGAGCAGCCACCGTGAGCCGGCCAGGCAGAGAGCATCCACCGTCTTCCAGTTTCTCGGCCTGAGGTTTCTTGAGTCAGTCCCAAAATGTGGGGTCCCCCAGAGCTGCCTGATCCTTTCATTCTGTGTCTCTGAGGCTGCTAATCACCCAGAACCATTCCTGGCATGTAGCAGGCATCGAATAAATGCTTGCTGATTGGTCTTTGGACTTAAGGAGGAAATAGACTGCCTGCATAAATAACACCTTCTGCAAATCTCTTAAGTTGACAAATAGAGCCTGGGGGACAGGGTCACTGCACTGGAGTCAGGGAGGCCTGTGTCTGATCCTCACCTCAGGCATTTACTAACACTTTGATCTCTGGGCCTCAGTTCTGTCATCTCTGAAATGGGCACAATAATACCATCCAGGGAGCCCCTGAGCACAAGTCCAGAATGAGATCTTGCCTAACATCAAGGCAGGGGCTGGTGGAATCTGAAGCCGAGCTGGGTTAATCACTCTAAACTTCGTAGACCACACTTTCCTCACCTGTGACATGAGAGGGCTGGAAGCTAATGACCTCAAAGGTCCCTTCCTGCTCGAGGGAGTGGGTAGAGAGCTCGACTTAGAGGAAGGAAGAGCTGAGTGGGAATCCTGCTTTAGCAGGGCAAGTCACCTAGCCTCTCACCTTCAGTTTCCTCATCTCCAAAATGGAGACAGTCACAGCACCTGCTGCCCACAGAGTTATTGTAAGAACAAGTGATCACACCCCCAATATATTAGTATACATACAATATATACATGCATATATGTGTATGTATATTTAAATATATCTGTATAAACACTAACACTATATAACTCTACATATATGTATGTATGTAAACATACAGATACATATACACATACACACATATGTGTATATATATGTTTGTATGTGTGCATCTATGTATATGTACATACAGATGAATAAAATAAAAGCACTTATCTCTCAGGGTTGTTGTGAGGATTAAGTGAGATAATATTTGTAGAACACCACCTAGCACACAGTGCCTGGCACATAAAAGTACTATAGAAATGCTGGATATTGCTAATATTTATATAAATACATCATATATACATTTCATATTTATTTATATATTATATATAAATTTATAATTTATATTATATACAAATGTATGGTTTATAATTTATATAAATATCAATCATATAAGTAAAATGCCAATCACATGATATACTTATTTATATACATTATATACATATACATATTATATATATACATATATTATATATAATATATCATCCTAAACCAAATATTAATCCTACATACACATATGATATTATATAATTATAGAGATATTAGCAATAGCCAGAATTTATATAGTACATTCTTTGTGCTGGATGTTCATATTATCTTATGTGACCCTCACAACAACCCTGAGGGGTAGATACTATTATTATCTCCATTTTACAGTTGAGGAAACTGAGGCAAACAGAAGTAAAGTGACTTGCCCAGGGTCACACAGCTAGGAAGTGTCAGAGGCTGGATATGAACTCAGGTCTTCCTGACTCCAGGCTCAGCACTCTAACCACTGTGCCTCCAGCTGCCTCCAACATTAGCTGCTCTATCGTTACTGCTCACAGCCTGTCAGGTGACTCAGCTGAAGCGCTGCCTCCTAACTGGTCTCCAGGCTGTGTGGTGTAGGATTTAAGGTCACTGACCCCGAGTTTGAATTCTGCTGCTTAGTCCTTGTATGTCCTTGCGCAAATGACTTAATTTCTCTGGGACTTCATTTCTTCACCTGTAAATGACAGGACCTGACTAGGTAACTTCCATGATCCCCCTGAGTCCCAGAGGTAGGATCTGAAGGTTCTATAACCTGAGACCCTCCGGTGTCCAATCCACCCTTCACCCCATTACCCGGCCATGGTTCTGTGTCACACCCTTGTTTAGAAAACCTAGAGGGGATTCTCGTGGCTCACCAAATGAAAGGGCTATTTAGTAGTCTGGCACTCAAGGTTCTTTACAATGTGGCTCTCAGCTACCCTTCCAAGCTGATCATGCATAGAAGGTCCCTCAGAAGTCATTTAGACCCTCTGGTAAGTGGGCATCCAGGCTCTTTCTTGAAGACCCCCAGGGATGAGGTGCTATCTCCTGAGGGAGCCCATTCCTCAGCTTCTTACTTCACAGCACCCCTGAGAAATCAGGAAGACCTGAATCAGAACGCTGGCTCTGGACTCTAGCTATGTGTGTGCTCCTCACTTACCTCTCTGGGCCTCGGTTCCCTCATCTGTAAAATGGGGGAGGTTGGACTAAGGTCCCTTCAGTTGATGATTCCAAAGTCCCGCCCTGCCCTGCCCTGACATTTTGTGATGCTACCATCCTTTAGGTTGGCGGCTTTATTATTTGAATAACTCATAGCCTTGCACGAAAATATTATTGAAACTGAGAACATCTCGAGGAGAGGCTGGGACCCTAGATATCAAATGTTCTTTCCCTGGTTCTGGGGTGGAAGTGAGGACCGGTGAATCATCACAAGTCATGCCTCCATCAGCTCATTTGCTCTGAAATGAACGCATGCCCTCATCACCCACATACAGACTTATCCATGACATGTCAGTGCTCCCCGGGGCTGTTATTTTAGGCAAAGGAGCTGTCCCGGTACTGTTTCACCCAATATTTTTTATTAGCTCTGGCTGGTCCAGACTCTGAGAGCTCAGATCTCCCATCCAACCTCAGGAGTGTTCTAAAAATCTCCCTGGACCTCGCCCTTATTATTTTACATGTTAGCTGTGGGATCCTTGAGATCGTGGACTATCTTTTGCCTTTCTTTGTATCCTCAGTGCTCAGCAGAGTGCTTGGCACATAGTAGGAGTTTAATAAATACTGCTGACTAATTGACTTAAGCTGGCCTTTGCCATCTCACAGTGAAGAGCAACACCATTATCCATAGAATTAGGCGGACTGTTAGCCAGTGTGGGGGGATGCCAAGAAGCAATGAAGGAGCTGAGACCTCAGAGACCATTTAGTCCAACATCCTTCATTTTATAGATGAGAAAATGGTGGCCCAGGAAAGTTCAGTAATTTGACCAAAGTTGCCAAGGTGGCGAGCATCAGAAACAGATTTGTACTTCGGTACCTTGAGCCCCCAATGCATTGCTCTTCTATCATACTGCCTCCTCTCAAACAAGAATCCTGTCTATGAGACCTCCAGCCAGCCTTTGCTTGAAGACTTCTAGTAATGGGGAGCTCACTACCACCCAAGGTAGCCTCTTCTGCTTTTGGATACCTCTGATTGTGAGGATGTTTCGCTTTTTTAAAAAAAGAATCTTTGTTAGAGTAAGGTTCACCATAAAGGAGGGTGGAATTTACTCAGAAATAAAAGTGAATGTGATATAAAAACAAAAGGCATAAAAAAAGTTAAAAAATAACCCAACAAACCAATTCACCTCAGCAGTAGCTGAAGGCCTACAGCACAGAAAAAATGGTCCCAATATTGAGAATTTCCTTGTATTTCCTTTGTGTTTTGTTTTTATTTGTCTGAAAACGCTTTGTTCCCCCTTCCCTATCCCTTCCCCCCGGTAGACTGTAAGCAGCTTGAGGGCAGGGAATGATTCAGTTTTTTGGCTTTCTCCCTAAGGCCCAGGAGAGTACCTGGTCCAGGCAGGCAGGCCCTACTTGAATGTATGGGCCTCACGATTCCTGGTGAAAGCTGACAGTTCCCTCTGGGGTACCTTTAGAAGTCCCAAGAAGTGCATGTATTCAGATACAATTTCTGAAGTTCCTAGATCAGAGGAAATTATTTCTATCAGAGACCATATGTGGAAGGATGCATGTAGGAGAGAGGAAAAGAGCAGAGAGCTTAGAAATAGGAGCCCTGGCTCCTACAGAAATCCTGCTTCTTTTAAAATTTTATACTTAGGCTGGGTGATTTGGGGATGGGTCATTTCATCTTACTGAGCCTCAGTTTTTGTGAAATGAGGAAGGCAATAATAATAAAAACAAGAGCTAACATTTATTAAGCACCCACTATGTGCCAGTCACTATGCTGAGCGCTTTATTGATTCTTACAACAACCCTGGGAGATAGGCACTATTATTATCCCCATTTTACAGAAGAGGAAACTGAGGCTATCAGAAGTGAAATCACTTCTGATTTGCCCAGCGTCACACTGCTAGTAAGCGTCTGAAGTCACTTTTGAACACAGGTCTAGCGCTGATGTGCACTCTGGCGCCACCTAGCTGCCATAGTGTAATACTTGCACTACCTACCTCAAAGAGTTATTGCAACATTCCACACCTGTAGTCCTTCACCTCTGCAAAGATGTGAGCTCTTCTTAGTAGAGATACCTTCAATGACCACCTCATCTAGCCATTGCAGCGAGGTGGCGCAATGGCTAGAGCGTTAGGCATGGCGTCAAGAAGACCTGAGTTCAGATCCGAACTCAGGCACTTACTAGTTGGGTGATCCTGGGCAAGTCACTTAACCTCTGTCTGCCTCAGTTTTTTCATCTGTAAAACATGGATAATAACAGCACCTGCCTCCTGGGTTGTTGTGAGGATAGAAAGGGATAGTATTTGTAAAGTGCTCTGCAAACCTTATATAAATGTTAGTTCTCTTGGCAAACTTCTATGGCTAATTCACTTTTTTTTTCCCAACTGTTATCCCTGAGATACCGTTATCCCTTTGGTGATGTTTTACTACCCACAAATCATGACAATTCTGAGGCGCAGGAAGTTGTCACTTACCTATCACCCCAAGGTTGGCCGCAAACATCAGTGAGATTCCAATGGGGAGACCAATAACATAAAAGCCAATGGCATTCAAGATGGCCCCAATCTTCTGATTTCCCGATCCTCTTAGAATCCCACCGCAGGTACACTGTCAGGCAGAATGATATTTTAGCAAGTGCTATTTGTAATTAGCATGTGCCGCGACAGGGACTAGAACTTGATTTCATTAGCATGGGGAACTCTCACCAGAGGAAACTCCCTTTCATTAATGCAGATAGCAGCTTCTAGTCTTAAAGAGTTGCCCAGTGCCCTGAGAGGTTAAATAGCTTACCCAGGATCACACAGACAAGGTGCATCAGAGATGGGATTTGAGGCCACGTGTCCAACCACTGCACCATGCTGCCTTTCTATATAAAGCACATGGTATTTTTAATTAGATAGTGAGAATCACAGAGAGCAACCATGGCTTAGAGAACTAGCTTCAGGGTCAGGAAGTTCTGAGTTCAAATCCTGCCTCCTAACACAGATTGGCTGTGTGACCCTGGGCAAATCAGTTACCCTCTCAGTACCCCAGGCAATTCTCTGATACTATAAATTGATATATGTTGGTAGAGGGAATTTCTTCATTGGGAGCTCCCTTCTGTGAAATCACAGGTGTAAACCAAAAAAGGGAGAAAGAAAGAATCGTAGCTTATTAGCATTGGAAATTACACAGATCCAGAGCTAGGGGTAAGGGTAGGGGAAGCAACCAAGCAACTGAGTAGGGTGTATTTTACTGAGGGGGCAGTAAAGATACCATAATAATAAATAAATAAACAAATAAGCAAGCAAACAAACAAATAAATGAATAATGAATGAATAAATAAATGAACAGATAAATAAATGAATAAATACATAAATGATGAATGAATGATTAAAAAGAAATAAAAAGAAAAAACAAACACATAAAATAAAAAATACCTTTAAATATTATTTTCTATAAATATATGTGAGAAACAATGTGGCATAATGGATAAAAAGCCAACCTCAGACCCATTAAAATCTATTTACATCAAGCTTCTTATGCTTACTACGCACGTGACCTTAAGCAAGTCACTTAACTCTGTGGGCCTGTTCCCCCAACTGGAAGATGAGGGAGTTGGCCAAGATGGCTTCCAGGGTTCCTTCTGGTTCTAGAGCGGATTCTGTGGTCTATAATCTATTAGGAAAACCACTCAACTTGGACAAGATGGCCTCTGAGATCTAGGATTCTATTATCCCAAATCTTTCAGAGTTTTAAGTCCTAACCTCATACCAATGCCAAGACTCAATATTGCATTTAGAACGCTTGTTGATCTAACTGGAATGAAAACCTTCTGCAGGGATGGCCCCTCCTAGCCCTTCTCCTCTCCTCGATGCAATCGGAAAAAAGAAAAAGCCACCAAAAAAAAAAAGCTCAGGAGGATTCTGTGGCATACTTACAGCAAAGCCGTCAAAGAGGTGGGAGGAGGCATAGATGGGAATGACCTTGGAGACCAGGGAGATGATCTCTCTGTTAGGAAAAGAAAAAGCAAAGGGCTTAGTGAGTACCACACACTCCAAGGTCCATACAGGGCTCTCAGGGTGGGGCTGAGCACATCCCTGTAAAGGTGCACTCTTTGAAAAGTTTCATTTATGCCCCCCCTTTTTTTTAAAATATTCCACCTCCTCTACATCCGCCAAGCAGTACCTTTCTGGTCCCACTTTTGGGACAGCTAGGTGGCTCAGTGGATAGAACGCCAGGCCTGGATTCAAGAAGACTCATCTGCCCGAGTTCAAATTCGGCCTCAGACACTTACTGGCTGTGTGACCTTGGACAAGTCACCTCACCCTATTTGCCTCAGTTTCCTCCTCTTTAAAGTGGGCTGGAGAAGGAAAGGGCAAACCACTCTAGCTTCTTTGCCAAGAAAACCCCAAATGGGGTCTTGATGAGTCAGACATGACTGAAGACGACTGAACAACAAAATGGTCCCACCCAGTGAGCCTCCCCTTATAAGAAAGAAAGCTTTGTGTTGACTTACTTGTGTATATGATGTGTCTCTTTTGTACCCCAACAGAGTCCAAGCCCCTTAAGGGCTTTTTTTTTGGTCATTGTACCACTAGTGAGGGGCAGCATGACAGAGCTGGCCTTGAGTCACCGATCTTCCATCGCTTGCTGTCTGCTGGCTGCTTCCCTGCTGCCTACAAACACATCCCTATCCTCAAAAACCCCTCCCTCGATCTGGCAAATCTCTTTCCTCCCCTCTGTAACTCAGTGCCTTGAGAAGGCTGTCTATGAGTGCTAGCTCTGTTTCTGTTCTGACTTCTGACCTCATTGTTCAGCTAAAAGGGCTCTTTCCAAAGATCCCTCTCAATCCTTGTCTTACCTTCCCCACTATGTGTATATGACACCCCCCCATTAGAACGTGAGCTCCCTGAGGGCTGGCCTTTCTTTGTATCTCTGCTGCTTAGCCTAGTACCTGGCACACAACAAGTACGTGCTTAATACATGCTTATTGACTGACTAAGCTGGGTTCACGTCCCACTTGTGACTTTTCCTGCCCAGATGTCTCCAGGCAAGTCATCCAGCCTTGGGAGCAGGTGTTGATATGCCCTAGAAGATGGATTTCCACACTGGCAGCTCCCCATACCTCTGATTAGGAAATCAGAGATCTAATGAACATAACCAACCAATTCCCCAGCCCAGTATGAGGCCCAAGCAGGTACTTTCCTTAGTGTTTGGGAATTCAGGAGAGGCAGTGAGTTATGGTGGGCGTATGGCTAGACTTAAGAGTCAGAAAGATTTGATCTGCTGGAGAGAAAATCTTTATCAACGCAGATCAGCAGTTGTTCAGTGACTTGTGGTCTTTGAGGGTTGCTTGGGGGGCACTGAGGCTGGCCCAGGGTCACACAGCCAAGATGTGTCAGAGGCCACACCTGAACCCAGGTCTTCCTGATTCCCAAGCCAGAGCTCTCTACTACATCACACATGCTGCCCCTAGAAAAGGTAGCAAGAAAAGGCTAAGAAACGCCAGCCACAACAATGGAACACACAATCTGCTGGTCCCAGCCAAGTTCTTAGTTGTGCTCTGACACATTTCTGGGAATGTATTTGGAGGGGGAGAGGGAGGTGTTCATTTGTCTATTTGTCAAGAGATATCTGCTGTGTTGAAACAAAAGTTATCAAGAATTATTTTTAAAGAATTGAATACATTGGTAATTTCACAGAGGGCAGGGGGTCTTCCCCTCTTTTGTGTCATAGGCCCTTCCAACAGTTCAGCCAAATCAATGGACCCCTTCTTAGAATAATGCTTTTGAATGCATAAAATATAAAGGAAATTAATTAGATTGAAATATTGTTATCAATGTTGTTTTTTTAAACCAAGTTCATGGACCACCCCCCTAAAACCTTAACCTGGACTCAGATTAAGAACCCCGCTGTTGGGAGTCCATGTACTCACCTGTCACTGGTGAAAATGTACCCAACAACGTCTTTGCAGCTCGCAAGTACGATGCACAAGGTGACGGCAAACATTTCTACAGGAAAAAGGGGACAAAATGAAACACCCAACGCATAAGAACATCAAAGCTTCCCTGGAGAGGGCAAGTGTTCACCAATTGCATTTCTCTCTAGTAATACAAACAAAATTGCAGGAAGGAACCAGGATGAGAGAGAGATGGGTTATTCTACAGACATGCACCACCCAGCACCTGTGGTCAGCAGAGAAATAGCCGAGGATATCTTGGCCTGCTCAATATCCCCTGCTCCCAGGGAGTTTCCAACATGAACACTGGCGGCCACGCTGAATCCTGTGGGGATCTGAAAAATAGAAATACCCGAACCCACCAAAAACAATGGTAAAAGAAGAGATAAGTGACACAGCATGCTTTTTAAGAACCTCTGACTCCAGGCAGGGTTTCCGTTTGGCGAATTACAAGTCAGACAATGGCAGAACCTTGAATCTCCTAAATCTGAATGAATAAACTCAGAGAATGGATGGGAGACTAGCATATCAGCCCTTGGGCATAAGCAGGAGGCTTCTGGGCTCTTGGCATGCACAGTCTGGTCACCAGCAAAGATGAAAAAAAGCTGGAAATAGTCATAGTTGGAGGGGCTGTAGAAACAGGCATAATCCTATGAGAAGCAATGAATCTGTCACTGCTTCCCAAATGCCCCCCTCCTTCTGCTGAGGCAGGAATACCTGGGCTGGAGTCATGCCTCTGATGCAGAGGCTGCCTTTGGGACCCTGAGCAAGTCACTAAACAGTGCAAGTCAGTGAACAGGCCTCAGTTGCCTCATCTGTAAAATGAGGAGGTTGTGCTTGATGGCTTCTGGGGTCCCTTCTAGCGCTAAATCTATGACCTGTATGACTTTGGACAAGGCACATAATCTCCACAGGGGCTGCAGCTTCCTCGTTCCCTTCTCACTCTCAATCTATCTGGAATCAGAAGACCCTCGTTCCTACCTTAACTCTGCTGTCTTCTGGTGGTATGACTCTGCACAAGTCACTTTACATACAAATCCCCAGCTTTCTCTCATATAATAGAATCTGCACTACCTACTTTGCAGGGTAACTGGGAGGATTAGATGAGATTAAAGTGTGCAAAATACTGCACAAGCTGGAAAGTCTAACATCGATGTCATCCATTGTCTTCTCCGGCACAAGCTACAGCCATAGTGTCAGAGTAGGTGTTGCTAAAATGGCTGCCGAGCAATCCGATCTAACAGGCACTTATTAAGCACCTATGGTATACAGTGTAAATACCCACACAAAGACAAGACAATCCTAGTTCTCCAGGAGTTTGTATGAAATTGGGGGATGGGAGGAGACAATGTGTATCACGATAAGAAGATATAAAATAGATACAAGTTAAATACAAAGAGAGGCTGTGTGGTGAATTGGCAGAGAGTTGGTTTCAGAATAAGGAAGACTTGGGTTCAAATGCTAATTCTGTCCCATACTAGTGATCTAACCCTGACAAATCATTAACTTCTTGGTGGCCCGGGCAACTGTTTTAAGATTATAAATTACAGAATATTTGCTAATCTGCAATGGTAGAGGGATTTCCTCACTGGAAGCGAGGAATAAAATTATAGGTCACACAAAAAACAGTAATGGGGGCAGGAATCAGGAAAAGGGACGAATTTTTGTTGTTCAGTCATGTCCGACTGTCCGTGATCCCATTTGTGGTTTTCTTGGCAAAGATACTGGCGTGGTTTGCCATTTCCTTCTCCAGCTCATTTGACAGAGGGGGAAACTGAGGCAGACAGGTTAAGTGACTTGCCCAGGGTCACCCAGCAAGGAAGTGTCTGAGGTTGTATTTGAACTTAGCACTTCCTGACTCCAGGCCTGGTGCTCTGTCCTCTGTGCCCCAGGCCTCTTATAGGAGGTGGCATATGAGCTGAGCTTTTAAGGCAGCTAGGGGATTCTAAGAGACCACAGACAGGAAGGAGAACATTTCAGTCATGAGGACAGCCTGTGGTAAGGCATTAGGATGGGAAATGAAGTATCCCACATGGAGAACAGAATTCAGGCCAGTATGGTGGAAAAGGAGACAGCAGAAGGAGGTGTATCCACCTGGAAAGCTCAGCTGGGCCCAGCATCAAAAGGGTTTTATAAATCAGATGGAGGAATTTAAGCTTAATCCTAAAGGCAACAGGATTCATCAGAACTTTCTGAGCAGGAGAATGACAAGGTCACTTGGGGAGTGACATCTTGGAGATTCTAATGTTTTAGGACTATTAATCTGGTAGCCAGGTAAAGAACAGATCAGACAGGGAAGAGTCTGGGTGTAGGGAGGCCAGTTAAGAGGTTACTGTAATAATATAGGAGAGAGGGGTTGAGGGTTAGGACTGGGGGGGTGGCCACATGAGCAGAGGAAAGGAGATGGAAAGGAGTGGTTCTGGGAAGGCAGTGAACAACAAGATGGCGCTGAGTTGGAGGTGGTGAGTGGGTGGGTGGTGAGTGAAAGGAAAGGCTTGACTCCTAGATTACAAACAAAAGTGATGAAATCACCGAGTTACCCTCAATGGAAATAGGGAAATTAGGATTCTGGAATCACTGGAATCACTAGACCACTTTTGTAGCTTTCTTTGAAATTAAGTGGGTTATGTTGTACAATAGAGTCTCAAGCCTAAGAAAAGCCATAGATGTAGCCTGTCTATTAGAGATACATTATGTTTTGGAACTAGCCAATGTCTATTGATGATCTTCAAATCTTTGGCTTATGACCACATTCACATCCTTATTCTTAGCCTAATTTTCTTAAGTAAATGGATTTTGCCTTTTCTAGAAGCATTGGCTCACAAAACAGTGTTTGCTGAGCCTGGAAAGCGAATTTTTGTGCTTATGTTGACGCTGTTATTCTCAAGACATTTAATAAATTTAAGACATTAAATAAATTTATTTAAGATTATTTTATGATGATGAGCAGGATGCTTTCAGAAAAAAACTGGAAAGACTTAAATGAACTGATACAAAGTGAAATGAGAAGAACCAGGAGAACATTGTACACAGTAACAGCAACATTGTATGATGATCAGCTGTGAATGACTTAGCTATTTTCAGCCATACAATGATCCAAGACAATTCCAAAGGACTCAGGGTGAAAAATGCTACCCATCTCCAGAGAAAGAACTGACGGAGTCCCAATACAGACTGAAACATATCTTTTTTACTTTCCTTCTTATTCTTTTTTTGTTGGTCTGCACTTTTTTTTGCAACATAGTTACTATGGAAATGTTTTGCATGATTGTACATGCATAATCTGTATCAAATTGCTTGCCTTCTCCAGAAGGAGGGAGGGAAAGGAGGGAAAGAGAGAATTTGAAACTCAAAATTTTAAAAAACAAATGTTAAAAGTTTTTTAATAAAATATTTTTTGGTGAATAAAATATTTTTTAAAAATACTATTTTAGTTTACTCTTGAGTTTTCTGAACATATCACCATGTCATCTGAAGTAGACATTTTAATTTCTTATTTTCCTGTGATCATTTCCTTCATTTCTTGTCTTATTTCTGTGAATAACATTTCTAAAATTTTGTTAAATAGTCATACTGGGAATGGACAACTTTTTTTTTTTTTTTTACCTTTACTCTCATGGGAAAGTTGTTATTCTTACTTCATTATGTATAACAGTTTCCCATGTATTTTTGGTTCTGCAAATAAATACATTTATCATGTTAAGAAGCACTTTTTTTTTGGTGTTAGCAAAGAACGAGAAACACAGGATATGGGGATAGATTGGAGAATGGCTAAACAAACCATGGTAAATGAATGTAATGGAATATTACTGCATTTTAAGAAATGATGAATACGGGGCAGGTAGGTGGCAAAATGAATAGAGCACCGGCTCTGGAGTCAGGAAGACCTGAGTTCAAATCCGGCCTCGAACATTTGACACTTACTAGCTGTGTGACCTTGGGCACTTAACCCCGATTGCCTCGCCAAAACAAACAAACAAACAAACAAACATGAAATGATGACTATGAAGAATTCAGAGAAGCATGGGAAGGTATATGAACTGATGCAAAGCAAAGTAAATGGAAACAGGGAAACAGTATGCACAACAACCATAGCAATGTAAATGGATAGAACACACACACACAAAATTAAACAGCCAGCGCTCTGAAGAAGAGATAAGAAAAATGCATTTCCTCCTCTTTGTCAAGATGGGGAACTATGGATGTCTCCTCTTGTCTTGTTTCAAATCTTGTCACACTTGGTTGATGTGTTAGTTTTTTAAATATTTTATTTTTTCCCCAATTACACGTAAAAACAATGTTGACATTCTTTTTTTCCCCAAAATTTTGAATTCCAATTCTCTCTCTCCCTGTCCTCCCAAGGAATTTGACATAGGTTACATATGTTTGTAGTCATGCAAAACACATTTCCATATAAGCCATGCTGTGAAAGAAAATACAAATGAAAAAAACTCAAAAGTAAAGAAAAAGTATTTTGGATCTATATTCAGGCTCCACTAGTTCCTTCTCTGGAGATGGACAGTGCCTTTCATCATATGTCCATTAGAAGTGTCTTGGATCATTGTATTGCTGAGAATAGCCAAGCAAGTCACAGCAAATTGATGTGTTAGTTTTGCTGAACTGATTTGTGTTTTCTTCTTTTCTATTACAAGAGATGGTTCATTGGGTGTGTGTGTGGGAGGGTGGGGGGAGAGAAATACATTCAGAAATAAAGGTGATATAAAAACAAAAGATGGGCAGCTAGGTGGCGCGGTGGATAGAGTGCAAGGCACTCATCTTCCTGAGTTCAAATCTGGCCTCAGACACTTACTAGCTGTGTGACCCTGGACAAGTCATTTAACCCTGTCTGCTTCAGTTTCCTCATCTGTAAAATGAGCTAGAGAAGGAAATGGCAAAGCACTCTAGTATCTCTGCCAAGAAAACCCCAAATGAGGTCATGAAAAGTAAGAGAGGAGTGAAATGAATGAATAATAACAATGATAAATAAAAGATAGTAATCAAATTATTTAAAAAAAAAAAAAGCCTAACCTTTGGATTGATGGAAAGGTAGTAGAAAGGGCATTCTGTGTTGTGGCAGGTCCCCATATGTGGGAGCACTAAAAGATGAGACTAGATGGGTAGGGTATGGGTCAGTTGATCAAACATCAAAAATGCCTGAAGTCTTGGAAAGGCTCTATGACAATGCTTAGAAAGTATTGTGGGTTTTAAACATCTTGAAAAATGAGGAAAGGTGGGACGGCTGGTCAAGCATCAAAAGCAAAGGATGAGAGATGGCCAGCTCACATACTGTACTGATACCCTAAGAATGTCAAAAGGTCTACAGAAGGAAACATAGCAAGACATGGACAAGAGCTGTACAGTGTGAGAAGGTACAGGCAAGTTGCCATCTGAGCTATAGAAAGGAGCTATTCACATTGATAAGATCACAAGTCCTTGAAGTGTGGAAAAATAAAATTACATACTCTAAAAAATAAAAAATAAAATAAATTTCAATAAATAAAAAATGTTAAATAAATACAAAATTTTAAAATAAAATAAATTATATACTCTAAAAATAAAATAAATTTTAAATAAATAAATAAATAAAATTTTAAAATAAAATAAATTATATACTCTAAAATACAATGCCTAAAGGATGGCAAAAAGCAAAATATCAGGAATAGAAGATTCTGATGCCAGGCTAATGGGCTCACAAGTCTAGCTGTACATGTTTTGCCATTTTGCCGAATTTTCTAGTCAGAAATTGTTAAGTAAGTGTAAACTCACTATGTTGAGCTGACCCCTGACCTGACCATGCCTCCCTTTCCCATCCCACCCCACCAACCACTAAGGCCATCTTGACAGCTGCTCTGGTCTCAGTAAGGTATTATTATTATCTTCATTTTGCACCTGGCCTTCCAAAGTACCTGCTCAACCAGTTCTGGCTTTCCGCCGGTTTATCATTACCAACCTAGTTATAGACAACAAAGTTTTAGAAAAATAGCTTGTTCTTTTAAGTGTATAAAAGTGTGTTCCTTAAAATCTTAATAATAATGAGAATAATTATTAGTAATAATGATAATAGCTGGCATTTCTATAGTGCTTCAAGATTTGCAAAGTGCTGGACATATGTTACCTCATTTGATCCTCCAAACAATCCCACGAGTTAGGTGCATCCTTATTTTACAAATGGGGAAACTGAGGATGAGAGGTGAAGTGATTTGCCCAGAGTCACCTACCTAGTAAGTATCTGAGGTAGAATTTGAACTCAGGACTTCCTGTCTCTAGTCCAGCATTCTATCTTCTCCTCAGTGGTTCCAAATTCAAATAGAAACTGGGCCACTAAATCCTACAAAGGATCCCTTAGAAAATGACATATTAATATTATTTATGTTCCGTTGTATTTTTTATTTGTTTTGTTAACTATCTCAAAATTACATTTTAATCTGGCTCTGGCCCCAGCCTCCTCTCTGATACCTCTGCTCTTTACCACTTAACTGCCTCAAAGCCATTAGCTCAACCAATTTCTTTTCCTCTATCCTGGTGTGGCTGTTGAGTTGTGTCTGACTCTTCATGACTCCATTTGGGGTTTTCTCAGCAAAGATACTGGAGTAGTTTGCCATTTCTTTCTCCAGCTCATTTGACAGATGAGGAAACTGAGGCAAAAGGGATGAAGTGACTTGCCCAGGGTCATCCAGCTAGTAAGTGCCTGAGGAACTCAGGAAGATGAGTCTTCTTGACTCCAGGCCTGGTGCTGTGCATATTATGATGCCATCTAGCTGCCTTGTAGAGATATATCTGGACTGAAAACCTGGCTCTGCTACTTACTACACATTTGCCCTTGAGAATGTGGCTTCATGTCCCTGTTCCTCAGTTTCCTCATCTGTAAAATGGGGGTTGGATCAGATGACTTTTGCACTTCCTTCCAATTCTAAATCTATGACCCTAAGTCACTTGATCTCTCTGAGCCTCAGTTTCCTCATTTGTAAAATGAAAGTGTTGAACTAGATGTCCCCTGGATTCTTTCCAGTTCTAAATCTATGTTCCTATGATTTGATTTTAATTCCACAATGATGCCAAAAAGACATGGAAAGGTCTCTGCATGACATTTTCTTTTCATATTATATTTATTATTATATAATTTTAAAAAATACACTAGTGTACTAGCAGGGCTCCCATACCACCAATCCCAGCTATGTAATGCACAGAAACATTTCATCCATCCTTCCCAGTTCCAGGTATTGGGAAGGAAAGCTTTTAACCAATATGGCACTGCATATCCTTAGCCCCCTTACCATGTACACTATTGTAGCCAGCTCATAGACAACAGACTGGGCTCCCAGCTCCACCATGCTGATGGTACCTGATGAAAAGATTCCATTTACTCCCTGGCTTAAGTGGCAGCTACCACCTTCCCACTCCACATGTCCTCCTCCAGCATCACCTGTCCCTGCACTGACCACTGAGGAAGCTCCCGATCTCATATGCCCACCACTCAATGCAAAGCATGAGCATGCTTGGAATGGCCAGGTGAAGGAAGGAGTCCCACTCGTTAAGGCACTCGAGGGACCACCCTGTAAGGAGAAGATAAAGAAATTCCTTTCAATGCAAAGAACAGTTTCCCTATTCAACACTTTTATTCTCATCCTAGCTGCGATAATTTTGTTAACGTAGTTTTTTCAACTTCACAAATAAGCCAAAGCCCCTTTTCTCATGTAGAAATTTTATTTACTGAAGAGGACAGAAAAAGGATATTTATGTGAGAAAGACAGAGAAAAGCAGATTGAGTAGAAACACAGAAAGTTTTGAGAATACCTGAGTGAAAGCAGCCCCTTAGGCAGAATAATTATCTGAGAGTAAAAATGGCTACAGTGCATTTTTCCCAGCTGTTAATTTACATATGACTGGTTTTTAGGATTTTGAAATTTATTTCTGGGGAACTCTACATCAAAGAACCATTTGGGGACTCTGGGGCAATAGCATATTGATCATTTGTGTCATATCTGATAAGAAATATAGATTTTAGGGTTTTCACCCTAAGTTAGAGGTGTCACTATATATGAGGAAGCCCTGATTTGAATCAAGAAAGATGGAGAAGATGGAGAATTAGAAGCTTGAAGGTGATGGAGTTGAGAAGCTGACAGAATCAAAAAGTGAAGATGACATAGTAGCAGTTACTTTGAGATGAGCCTAACTGAACCTGACTGACTAGAGACAGACAAGTACTACAGCTGCTGCAGTGAGCTGATCTGATTGGAGGAAAATCTTGGGCTGGCAGCTGATTGGAGAAAGCAGAACCCTTTGCTGTTTGAAGATCTGGCCTTGCTCTCCAGCCCTATCTGTAGACTGAAAGAGGGGAAATCCTTTATAGACTCATTTATGTTGCCTTTTACAAGCCCTTAAAATAGAGAGAAAACCTGAGTAGCTAGGTTTCAGACCTTAGAAGCTATACGGATCCCAGCCTTAATAAGGCTGCTGTTTGTCACAGGAACCTAACATTGCTTAAGTAACCTGAGAATATAAGAGGGATAGTCCTGCTTCCCTATAGTGACCAAAGACATCAAGGCCTACATTCTAAAGTTATGAGTTTCCCTACTCATGTGTCTCACTGCCAGCTTTCTGTAAGTTTGTGTCCATTTTCCCCAATGGACACTGTGTACATTGGTGGGACAGTGGCATCTAGGTTTATAGGTGGATTGTTATGTTGTACTGTGATTATTATCATTTTGCCTTTTCTCAAGAAATGTTTTATGATTAAGAGTAAATGGTATCATCTTGGTTCATTTGTTTAAATGGAAAGCATGCCACTGGGACCTTGGGAGCAACAAATGTAAGTACTATACACAGCTTCTTCCCTACCCTGGAACCCCTAGAATACTGAAAATGAATCATAACTACATGACTACTTGGGGACCACCCTGAACCATGCAGTGTGAGTATGGGATATATGGGGTGAATAAGCCAGCTCCGGTCTTGGAAGAGAGATCCTGGAGAGAATTGGGGCTCAGTGCCACACCCTACGGGCTACATTGCTAACACTCATTCTTAGGGTCCAAGAGGTAAACTTTTTCTTCCCCTTCCAGTAAATAAAATGTCTACACACAAGAAAAGGACCATAACATAAGTAATAACCATAACCATAACATAAGTAATAAAAGTTAGCTATTTTACCTTTTTTGATCATTTCTATCTCTTCTTTGGTTAAGAATTCTCCCTAGGACCCCAGCTGTGAAAGGTGCTTGATCTGATTCTCTATTAATTTGTTATGATGTGACCTTTAGTATTCAGGTCAGGATCGTTTTGAGTTTATTATGGTATATGGTATAAATGCTGGTCTGAACCTAATTTGATCAAGAATTTCCTTGTGGAATCATGTGGCTACAGTCAGTCACTCAGTCAGTGAATAAACATTTACTAAGTGACTGCTATGTGCCAGGAACTGTGCTAAGCTCCTCCAAGGAGTGAACAATGTTGGGTGGAGTATGGTATATATTACCTTCCCAGGTGTCACGGTACAGCTTTCTCCAGAGAATGTACAAAAAGAGAAGGAGGGTCAGGGTGAATTGGGAAATGGTATTTGCCAGTGCTGATCCCCTAGGAGGAAAGAACAAGACAGAGGTGGTGGGATATCTGCCCATCTGCATTGTCAAGCCCTACAGTGAATTAGAGTGTTTCAATATGCTGGCAGGATAACTGACTTTGAGTTATAGGTGACCTCAGAGTTCAGAATCACAGAATTCTCAGTTGGATCATCTGGTCCAATCCTGTCATTTTACAGAGGAGGAAATGAAAGCCCAGCAAAAGGAAGTGACTAGTCCAAGGTCACACAGCTAATAAGTGGCAGAACCAGGCTTTGGATTCAAGACCCCCAACTCCAAACCCATCACTCTTTCTGCTATGTCATGCACTACATGCTTCCCATAGGCTATTTCCACAGGCTAATTTCCCTGGGGAAGCAGGAACAATCTTTCACCCCTTGAAATGTTTTCTCAGATGGCACAAGATGGATATAAATAGGTGGGCACGTGTTACCAATGCCAAGGTTACTTGGGGTCCAGCAGCCCATGGCAAGGTAAGCCCTTCTCCTTTTCCCTGCTCAAAGACTGAGTTAGACTCACATCACACCCAGGCTCAGTTGATGGAGAAGCACGTAGTTAATGAGGGCATTGAGGATGTTGGCCACCACTCCCGTAACAATCTGGGGAAGTATTATTCCCTGAAACAGGGAGAAAACCATTCACTAGTTTAAGAAGTACTGTCTCCACACCAAAACACATCAGTAGTACAATTCCTTTTTCAAATTTTAAAAGAATGAGAAAGTTCCAGTCATCTTACCTGATTCTTACCTATTCAGAAGACTTTAAAGGCACATATTTAGAACTGGAAGGTACCTGAGAGGTCATCTAATCTAACCCTGGCTTTTTACAGATGAAGAAACTGAGGAACAGAGAGAAATGAGATGACATGCCTAGAGTCATAGACGTAATAAGTGGAAGAACTAGGATTTGAATTCTGGTCCTTTGCAACTGACATATGCAACAAGAAAGCTCCCAACTCTTGAAGAGAGGAAGAGAATTTGAAACTGAAAATAAAAATAAAAACATTGTTAAAAGTCCTCAACTCTTATGTTTGTGCATTAGAAAGAACTAGGACTAGGATTTGGAAGTCAAGAGACCTGGATTCTAATCCCAGCTTGGTCCCTAATCCATGATGTACTTTAGGCGGGTCATGTGAAATGGCCTTTCTGAGCCTCAGTTTCCTCCTCTGTAAAATGAGGACAGTGGCCTAGATTTCTAGCCCCTAATTAGAGGGATCTGTGATAATGAGATCACGTGGATATTTCTCCTCCCACCTGTGGAGGTTGCCATTCCTCCTTCCCCTGTGGGTTCTCTCCCATCAAAAATGTTATTCCATATTCCCACTAATCTTTTAATTTTCCCTCAAAGTTCTTTTCCACATCTATAAAATGGGGTTCTGAGACCTCTCAGGAATATAGCGAGAACCTAACGTATGTAGAGTGCTTTAAAAACTATATTACTATAGCTCAGTCTTCTTCTCTGCTAGGATTCAGATTCAAATAGTCCTGGGACAAGTCATTCTCCATTTATATTGATAACGTTCAGCTGAGTATTATGCACATTCATAATATAACTGCTTTTGGTGATTGAATAAAAGTACCAAGACATAAGCTCAGATTTTTTTTTACTGCTATCATTATTATTTTCATTCCCATTACCTCTCCTAGAGGGGAGGAGTATGGAATTCTGGCCACAGGGAGACAGAGGCAGGAATCTAGAAAGAAGGAATTGCCTATGAAAGGAAAGAAGCAACGAGGAGGAGTGAACCCCACCTATGTGACCCCACATACGATGCGTGACACCAAATAGCACCATTTCTAATTACGCAACTGTGACACCTCAAACTGGGGATCTGGGGAACCAGCTTACTAATTATCTTACACGTGTATGTATGTATGTATGTATGTATACATATACATATATCCATACCTATATATATGCCTACATAGGTATATGTAAATAATAGTATTTATTAATGAGCACAGTGGAGTTACATGGTAGGAACAGAGAAGACCTAGGAAGGTACAGAGTTTGCTCATGAGTCAGAAGAACTGAATTCAAACCTGGCTCACACACTAGCTATGTGACCCTGAACAAAATACTTGATTACACTGGCTCTCACTGCCTCATCTATAAAATGGGGCTGATAGCTCACATTAGGAGACCATGTGGTACAGTGGAGAGAATGATGAATTTGAAGTCACAAATTTGAACACGAGTTCAAATCTTGACTGTTGTTTAGCACCTGTATAACTTTGGGCAATATTCTTCACCTCTCTGGGCCTCAGTTTCCTGATCTGTAAAATGAGCAGGTTGGACTAGATGGCCTGTAAGATTGCCTCTTGTGCTAAATCCTATGGCCCTGTGAACAAGGGCATTTTCAGGAGCCAGATGACTGCATTTTCTTTGACATGACTAGCGAATATCAAACCCTTTATAGACAGAGATTGTGTCTAGGGCAGAGGAAAGAGCCTTTAGGCCCTGAGTTCAAATCAGAGCTCTGCTATTTACTGATTGTGATCTTGGACAAATCACTTAACTTCCCTGTGACTCTGTAAAAAGGGCTGGGACTAAATGGTCTCTGAAGTAGCTTTCAGCTCTCGGTCTATGATTCAATGAGATCTAGGCTCTGCTCTTTACTACCTATGTGACCTTGGGTTATTAATTAATTAATTAAATTAATTAAACAATTAACTTCTCTGGGCCTTAGCTTCCTCTTCTCTAAAATGAAGGGCTTAGACTAGACGATTTCTGAGATCAATCCCAACTCAGTCTGGGATCTACGAACCTATGAACATGGGGAGATGTGTTTCCTGTGCCAAAACAGAATTTTCCCTGGACTCCCTGAATTAAGAACACACTGATCCCTGTGTGAGACTGATGCCTGAAGTATTCTCAGAGAGAGAAGGAAACACACCCACTCTGCCCCTAGACGAAGGAAATGAGTGATCATTACCTGGTTCTGCAAATATTTAACCTGCAATATGTAAAGAAAGGCTGCCTATGAGAAAACAAAGGGAAGGAAATGTTAATATTTCATTTCTTTCCAAGCCCAGGGACTTAGACTCCCCTAAATCCCAACCACCCTTCTGCATGGATTAGCGGAGCTGCTTATCTCTGATGCCGACATGCTTGTGCAGACTTCTCCATGACCTTCGACAGTTCTCACGTGGAAGATTAGAAATGGGGAATGTGTAGCGGGTTTAGCAGGAGGAGGAATAAAAACCAAGTCAACTTGTTTTGTCTTGATTTTCAAAAAAGGAATGACTATTAGATTCTACAGACTTCTGGGAAAAAAATCTAGACAAGACCATTAAAGAAATGGCTAGCCAACGCCTAAGAGAGGTTGTGGTGATTACAAAGCACCAATATGGCTTTATCAGCAGCAGCTCATGCAGACCAACCTTATTATTAAATTAGAATATAGGCATCATTGACATAATTTACTGGATCCTAACAAAGAATTTGGTAAAATATTTAATACCATTCCTGCGGAGAATATGAAAGATGTGGACTAGATATTAATAAAATTTGATGGAATTGGAACTGGTTAAGTGACCAGACTCAGAGACCTTGTTAATGGTCTCCACTGGATTGCCCCAGGGATTTGTGCTTGGCCATATATTGTTGAACATTTGTTATCAATGATAAGAAATGATAAAAGCATAGATGGCAGACTCATCCAACTTGTACCTGGCACAAAGCTGAGAGGGATAGCTAACACAAAGGACAAAAATCAGGACCCAAAAAGGTCTTGATAAGCTAAAACATTGGGCTCGATCTAATTAGCGTAAACATAAGGTCTTATTCTCAGGTTAAAAAAAAATCATTTCACAAAGATAGAATGGCGGTGGCAAGGATAGGGAGCATTTATTCCAGAAATAGATTTGGAGATTTTTGTGGACGACAGGCTCTACAAGAGTCAGCAGTGTGATGGACCAGCCCCCACCCCCCAAATAAAATAGAATAAAACTAATGTAATCTTTGGCGGCATTAAGATAGAGGCATAGCTTTCTGAAATATGGAAGCCTGTGGGCATTCTGCCCTAATCAGACCACATCTAGAGGGCTGTGTTCAGTCATAGGAAGCTCAGTTAAAGGAAGTGGGGAGATGTTCAGTCTGGAGAAGAGGGTGACATTCCAGCTGACTCCTAGGTGGAAGGGGGAATCAGACTGGGTCTTTTAGGCCCCACAGGGCAGAACCGGGGGCAGCAGGGGCAGGTGGGAGTTGTGAAGAGATCAATTTTGGGCCTGATATCAGTGAATAACAACAAAGGGAGCTGTCCCAAAATGAACTCCCCCTCACTTAAAGTCTTCAAGTTGTTGTCAGTCAATAAGCATTTATTTAGTGCTTACTGTGTGCTAGGCCATGGGCTGCAAGGGATGGTCCCCTTGGCTGGGTATGTTGTAATGGGGACTTTTTTTTTTCCCAGTATAGGTTAAACTATAACTTGGGGCAGCTAGGTGGTGCCATGGAGTCAGGAAGACTCTTCCTAAGCTCAAATCCAGCTTCAGACACTTACTTAGTAGCTGTGTGACCTTGGGCAAGTCACTTCACTCAGTTTGCCTCAGTTTCCTCATCTGTCAAATGAGCTGGAGAAGGAAATGGCAAATCACTCTTTGCTGAGAAAACCCAAATGGGGTCATGAAGACCCCACGGACACGACTGAAAACAACTGAACAACTGTAACTGAATTGACTGAACGAGAAGGCCCCCGAGGTTCCTTCCGACTTTCAATGACTGTGATTCTGTGCTCTTTTCAGTCCCCTCCATCCATCCCATTCTGTGTTTCTATGAGCACCATGTCAGATGAGAAGTTGGAAAGCCCAGCCCTGAGAAGCCACTCAGTGCACCCTCCTCATTCTACAGATGAGGAAACTATGCCCTAGAGGGGAGAAGAGACCTGACTTGGTTTACAAAGGCTGTCAAACCAGAATTTGAACCCAGGTCCATCCTCACAGGGCACTAAGGGGTCAGAATTCCAGGCGACTACTCCCTCCTCATCCTATGGCACACAAAATACCCACTTCACCTTGCCCTGTAATTCCGGATGGCCATCTGCCACCCTGAAAGCTTCCGTTCCCTCATATCACCCCCGCTCCTTCACTTTCACCTAATTTAGCCCTGTCCCGGGTGGTGCTGGAGCTAGCTCATAACCCACTCGAGCAAGCCAACTGTTAAACTTGTAGTGTGAGCATTTACACCTTGGAAATGGGTAAGAGCTACGTCTGAGGCTTGATTCATTGTTTGGTTGATTGTGCAGTCTTAAGAAACTGATGGAGAAAAAATGTTAATGAAGTTTCTATTTCTGTAATCGTCCATCTTCATGACAGCTAAGCCATCCACCTGTTCCTGTTCTCCTCTGTTTATAAATCAACCAACACATATCTATCATGAATCTATTAGGTGCCAGTCACTGGGGATGCAGGTACAAAAAAAGAAACAGCCCCTGCAGGCGACAAGCTTGGGGAGGCAGCAGACACAAGCACCTACAGCATAAATATCAAGTAATAAATACAAGATAGTTAAATACAAGTCAGTTTAAGAAGGAAAGGTGGTAGTCCAAGTTTCTCCCTTTTTCTCTATCATTACAATTGCTTAAAGACAGCCTCACTCTTCTTTGATAGGCAGCTGAAAGGATTTCCGAGGGTAATTTTGGCCATTCTTTGGATTTGTGCATTAAGGCTTCTCTTTGGAACCTAAGCCCCAGTGAAGGTTCGCCTCCGGTGTAAAGGAGCCTGGTCCCGGGTAAATGTCTTCTTGACCGAGTGAACCTTGTCCCAGGGGCTAGGCAGCTTGGGAATCATACCTTTATCTTCACAAGCACCCCATAAAATGAACCCTTTGACCCTTGGGAACTCACAGGAAGAGCAGGAATGAAGATCAAGACGTAGGTCTGCGTAAGCCTAGAGAATTAAAACAAAAGAGAAAAAGAAAAGCGTTACAGGCCCCCCCAGCAACGGGAAGGACTGATAGACTATTGGACAGCAGACAATCTGTTCAGGCTCTCGGGCCTGCCCTGGGCACAAGCCTGCCCAAGCAAAGGGAGATTTATGATAATCCCCACATTCCAAAGTCAGCTTGTCACCTCAAAGTCCAAATTATTTCCTCTTTTGAGAAAAAAAAAGAAAGTCTGCTAGTTTCCAAGCCACGGGGTTTTCTTAAATTCTTATCACCTCAGGCTCCCACCCCCCACAGGCCTCCATTCCTCCATTCCAAAGGAGCTTGGGGACTGAATTCCAACCTCTTTGCCCCTAGAGACAAAATACAAGATTTTCAGCCCAGCAGCAGCAAACCAGCTGGGCAGGATGCTTCGAGCAGGCAGGCAATGGGCTTCAGGGGAAATGAAGGGTCTGGAGCATTAGTCTGAAAAAGAGAGCTTGGGGCTGTCTGTCTCTGGGAGGGCCCTCTGCTTTACCACCCAATGTTTCATCCAATCCACTGGCCTTGGTTAATGTCTGGTCCCTGTACCTCTTTAAAGGCAGTGTGAACAACTAACCCTGAGCAGAAGTAACAATAATAATAGCTATTACTATTATGCGCCGTTCTTAGATTTGCAAAGCGCTTTATTTGATTCTCACAACGACCCTGGGAGGGAGGTGCTGGGTCTCATTATGCCCATTTGACAGAGGGGGAAAATGAGGCACAGAGCGGCTCACCTGGACACATCCGGATCCTGCCTGAAGAGGAGCAGGATCTGCTCGGTGTTAATGAAGACGGCCCAGCAGGGGAAACAGCACAAAAGTAGCATGAGTATGCCTCGCTGTACGATGACCCCCACGTACTTCAGGTTGCGGCTGCCGTACGTCTGAGGGGAGGCAGAGAGGGCTGTTAGCCTGGTGTTCAACAAGCCTTTACTGAGCACCTACTATGCACTGGCAGCCTGCTAGGTCCTCGGCATACAAAGACAAAAAGGAAACAGCCCCTGCTTACGTTCTATTTGGGATGATTTCCCCATTGTTTTCTCTGTTGTTGTTTGATATCTGACTCTTCAGGACCTCATTTGGGGTTTTCTTGGCAAAGATCCTGGAGCGGTTTGTCATTTCCCTTTCCAGCTCATTTTACAGATGAGGAAATCGAGGCAAACAGGGTGAAGTGACTTGCCCAGGGTCATACAGCTAGTAACTGTCTGAGACTAGATTTCTGGTCTTCCTGAGTCCAGGCCATATATATTAAAAATGCTTCACTGATGGTAATAGGAAATCAGTGAAATCTCCCCTCAACTCAGACATCTATCAGGCATGTACCATGTGCCTAGGCATATGAAGACAAAAAAAGATGCAGGGCCTGCTCTCAGGGAACTGACATTCTGTGTGGGTGGCCAGGGAAGGCAGTGGAGTCACAGGGGGTAAACTGACCCACAAGGCAGCCAACTGATCTTCCATTTTCAGGAGCCATGTTAGCACTGGTTCTGGTAGAAGGGGGGAGGTAGAAGGAAACTGGGCTGCCTCAGGGGAAATGACAAGAAAGAGGGGCTATATCTGTGTATGCAGATAAATAAACATAAGGTAACGTGAAGCGGGAAACAGAATCACAAGGAGAGACATCAGCAAAGTCTTCTCAGAAGCGATAAGACTTGAACAGAGCCTTGAAAGATGCTAAGATTCTAACAGGTGGAGGTGAGGAGGAAGGGCATTCCAGGCATGGGGGACAGCCCGGATAAAGGCACTGAGGTAGGAGGCACAAACAGACAACCCAGAATAAAAGTGTTTCTACATCACCTCCAGGTTAAATGACTTGCTCAGGGTCACCCAACTAGTAAGTCTGTGAGGCAGGATTTTGATCGTGCGTCTTCCTGCCTCCAAGCCCATTTTCCATCCACAGCTTTTTGTCTCTCATACATGCAAAAAAAAAAAAAACAAAAAAAAAAAACCAAGCAAACCTTTCTACCCTTAATCCCAGATGATTGCACTTTTTCAAAACCTGGGCCAAATCAATCTAAGCCATGGGTGGCTCAGCAGTGGAATTCTATCCTGGTACCCGGAGGTCAAGTTTCTTAATCTCCCTCCATCTCACTTTCCTCATCTGTAAAGTAAGGAGGATGGATCGTTGCCCCCGCAAGCCACCATCAGGCTCTAAATCTAAGATCCTATGCTGAGCATAATGCAGAAGAAATGAGGCCAGATTTGGAGTCAGAGATCCTGGGTTCAAATCCTGGTCCTGCCTACTTACTTCCTGGATGACCCTGGGTAAGTCACTTTGACTCCCCCTGCCCCCACCATCTGTAAACAGAGAGGGTTGAACTAGGTGACTTCTGAGCTCCTTTCCGGCTCTGAGACTATAATCCTTCGGTCCTGTGATCACCTCCATCAAAGAAAGCCTGCACCCATGGCAAATGAACACGCATAGCTTTTCCTAACAGCCCGACACAAAGGAATTCATTCAGTTCTGAAACAGAGAACGAAAGCCCTGGAGGGAAACAAGACCCAGTGGAGCTCCTGGGGCTCCTACGGAAAGCAAAGGTCAGAGCAGGCCTAGCAGCGCCGGTCAAGACAAATTTCTCCGGGCTCACATCCTGGGAAGAAAAAACAAAAGTCTGTTTTCCTACAGATATTTTTGAGAAGAGTCAAGACCATACTCCAGAGCAAATAGGTGCTGCCCTGAGATTGGAGGCTAGACAGCTGGGAAACATCCCTCGCAGCGGGTGGCCCAGACAGGGGCAGGGATGGCTCTGGGTTCCCAGGCTCAGTCGGGGTCATCTTTGCTGCTGCTCTAGGTTCCTTACTTAAGCAACACGGGGCAAGTCTCCAGCCCTGCCTCAAGGGCCCACAACAGAGAGAAGGGCATCTTTGAGATAAGGCACCACACTAAGGCAGCCTGAAAAACCTACATACAGGACAGAAGTGACTCTGGAATAAGGACTGGACGAGGGCCGCTAGGGGGCGCCACAGTGCGCGGAGCTCGGGGCCTGGAGTCAAGAAGACTCATCCTCACGAGTTCAAATCTGACCTCAGTCACTCACTAGCTGTGTGACCCTGGGAGAGTCACTTCACCCTGTTTGCCTCAGTTTCCTCATCTGTCAAATGAGCTGGAGGAGGAAATGGCAAACCGCTCCAGTATCTTTGCCAAGAAAACCTCAAAAGGGGTCACAAAGAGTTGGACGTGACTGAAATGACCGAACAGCAGCACAGACTGGACTTGGGATTTCAGAGAAGGTAGAAACTCTTTCACCTAATGCAGGTTGGCCCCTGCTGGGTAACTTGGTAACTTACAGTCTCGATTGTTATTGTTCAGTCGTGTCTGATTCTCCATGACCCCATTTGGGGACTGGTTGGCAGAGATACGAGAGTGATTTGCCGTTTCCTTCTCCGGCTTGTTTTCACAGATGAGGAAACTGAGGCAAACAGGGTTAAGTGACTTGCTCAGGGTCACACTGCTGGTGTCTGAAGTCAGATTTGCACTCAGGTCTTCCTGACTCCTGCTCCAGAACTCTATCCTCTGTACCACCTAGTGGCACTAGTCTTGGAGAGCTGTCTAAAGCACTGACTTGGGTGGTAAATCAGAGGGCTCTCTCAAACATGGCCCCAAGCTCTCTTTTTTGGACTAACGCTCCAGACCCTTCATTTCCCCTCAAGCCCAGTGCCTGCCTGCTAGAAACATCTAGGCCGGCTGGTTTGCTGCTCCTGGGCTGAAAAGCTTGTTTTTTGTCTCTAGGGGCAAAGAAGTTGGAATTCAGTCCCCAAGCTCCTTCGGAACGGAGGAATGGAGACCTGTGGGGGGTAGGAGCTTGACGCGATAAGAATTTAAGAAAGTCCCTTGTCCTGAAAACTAGCTGACTTTCTTTTTTTTCCTCAAAAGAGGAAATAATTTGGACTTTGAGGCCCTACACCAACATCACCTAAGGAAGAGCATAGGGCCACTGATGGAGAGCTGGAGAAGACCGCAGAAGCCATCTCTAGCCCCACCTCATTTTACAGATGAGGAAACCAAGGCCTAGGAAAGTAAAGGGAGTTAGTTGAATGCACACAGGCAGTGTCAGAGGCCACATTTAAATCCAGCTCTTCTGTCTCTTTCCTATGCTTTTTCTTCTGTCTCTTTCTTTGTTTACTCTCTTGTTCCATCTGAAAGCAGAGTCAGACTGTGGTCTGTCTCTGGCAACAATACAGTCTTCCTGGAGTCTGCTGCTGCTAGGTGAGGGCCAAACAGAGAGCCTGACAGCAAACTGCCGCCTCCTTACCTGGGAGATGAGCGTATCACAGGCTGAAGCCAAGCCAAATCCAACTGAAATGCCAGTGACGTTTATAACCTGCACAGAAAGCCATGGAAAGAAACCAATGTTAACTCAAGGAAAAGAAGCCACACACCCTTTCTTTGAGGGGATGGAGAAGTCCTTTCTTCTTCAGTGTGAATGAGACTTATACCCCTGTCAATCCGCTAGGACGCACAAGAGGGACGGACCCATCATTGGCTCCTAGGGGTAGTTAGGTGGTACAGTGAATAGACCAAGTGTTGGAAAGGCCTGAGTTCAAATCCAGCCTCATTTACTCACTAGCTGTGTGACCCAGGGCAAGTCACTTTAACCTCTGTTTGCCTCAGTTTCCTCCTCTGTAAAATGAGGAAAATAACATAGCCTCCCTCACAGGGTAGTCGTGAGGATAAAATATATGCAAAGCAACTTGCCAACCTTAAAATGCCAGGTAAAGGCTAGCTGTTATGCTGAAATCCAAGACCAGTTGCAACCTGATGTCTTTCCTGTTGCCCTGCTTACTAGTGCCTTCCCTCCTTACTTTGCATACATTTTGTTTTGATTTCCTACCCATGTATATGTTATTTCCCCCTTAGAATGTGAGCCCTATGAAGGCAGGATCTATTTTTTTTCCTTTATATCCTCAGCATCCCAGCTTGGCACTCAGTAGGCACTTAATGCTTCCTGAACACACAAATGAAGGATAAAACCAGAGCCATGGAACACTACAGGTTTCAGATTGCTCTCTTTGCTATGGCCCCAGAATGATCTGCCCCCAAGTCATGAGGCAAAGGGGCAAACAGGGGCTGAGGAAATAGTTTGGGCCTTGGGTGTCATTTCTGAATGTTCAAAGATGGAATAACCAGTTCTGGAATTCTGATGTGGCAAGACCAATAGGTTTACCCAGCCCCATCCCATTCGTTCAGATGAATCTTGTCTGCAAGTGTGCTGAGTGGTCCAGCACCCTTACTTTCTGAGTGATCCGGCTTCTTCTTTGTTTGGCTCCTGGCATTACCCCCACTAGAACAGAAACAGCCTCTCTTCAGCTCTGGCGCACAGTGTTCAAGGGAATGTTGGTGATTTCTTCTCCCCACCTCTAGGCCTCTGTTTATCACCAGGATAGACGCTAACTAACTAATTCACAGGTCAGACCAACTGATTCAAGAGGGCAGCTGGGTACAACTCCCACTTCCCAGGTGGATAATCTTTCCAGTTTGGAGAATAGTCAGCTATAGGTTGACCATCATAAACCCAACTTTATCAAGGAGCACATGGAGAAGATAATACATACGGCAATCGCAAGGGTGACGGCATCCAGTTCCAGCTTTCCCAAGTGGCCACAGAACACAGAACTTATGAAACTGATTAGAAACATCATCAGCTGAGCCAAAAACTAGAAAGCAGAAAAAAAACAGTGTGACTCTGTGTCAGCCTGTTAGGGTGCCCAAAGAGGGTAAATAATGTTCGTTACACGGTAAGAGCCTTCTAGCTGACTCCTAGTCTTTCCCTTTCCAAACTGGCCCAATCCAAACAGCATTTATTAACAGCCTACTATGTGACAGACACTAAGTTAGGCACTGGAGATGCAAGATAAAACAGAACAAAAAAAAAAAAAAAAACAAATGGGCCTGCCCTCAGGGAGCTTACATTCTTCATCTTTTCCAGAATGCCCACGGATACTTTTGGAGTCAGAAGCCTCACTGCCAATCTCTGCTCGCAACTTGGTGACAGCCTGAACTGAGAATAAGGAGGCGTGACAAGTAAGTGGAAACAATAAAATTTTAAAAAGGACACATAGTAGGTACTTAATAAATGTTTATTGATTATTAACAAATATTTATTGATTAAGCAGAAAGGAGCAATGTGAGATAAAGCCGGGAAAACTGGTTGAAATCGGACTGTGGAGCACCTTGGATATCAGGGTAAGAAATCTGCATTTTCTGTCTATAGACGGTAGGGAGTGACCATCAGAGCTGTGTCTTCTAAAGCCGGCTCCAGGAGTCATTGGCTCACACCGGAGGCACTCTAGGAACCTATTATCACAGTTCAGGTAATAAAGACACCTCCTCTTATCTTCTCTAGGACAAAGTTTGGTAGCTAGGATTACACAGAATTCCATTAGGACATTTTTCTTTGTTCTTCTTATTTACCCTGTTGCAGTCATTGACTATGTTGTTTTCTTGGGTCTGCATACTTCCCTTTATTATTTCACAGAACTCTTGGCCAAACTTTCTGTCACCAATGGGCCTGTTTGCTCAATTGTTTTTATGAGCAGGGCATGACTTCACAATAAATTAGGTTACCTTTCTTGAGAACAAGGGATTGACTGCTGTCCTATGATTCCTCAATTGTATTTTTTTCCCAATGACATGTAAAGATAGTTTTCAATATTCATTTTTGTAAGATTTTGAGTTTCAAATTTTTCTCCCCCCTTTTCTTCCCAAGACAGCAAGTAATCTGACAAAGGTGTCCCATGATTCCTAATGGAGAGCAGAGGCATCAGCCTGGCCAACCCAGCACTGGAAATGACCACCCAAATGAAGGGTGTCAGGCTCTGCTAAGCTTTGGTAAAACGATATCCATGGGTAGCATACCTTTTAAAATTGTATATCGTCTTGTTTTTATATCACCTTTATTTCCCAACGTGCTCCTTTCTCCTTCCCTACCCAGAAAGTCATTCTTTAGAACAAGGAAAAAAAAAAGAGAAGAAAGTCAGGTCAACAAAGCTAAGTGACACATGAAACAAGTCTGTCAATACACAATATTCCATAGCCATAGTCCCCCAACTATGGAAAGGAGAATGGGAGAAATGGACCTTTTATACCTTGATCTGGCAGATCTAATTGACCTTGAGCAAGTGACTTTTCCTCATGGGCCTCAGTTTCCTTGTCTACAAAGTGAGGGGACTAAATGATCCCCAAGGTCATCATAGAGTCTTTTTCTTCCATAAGACACCTTTTTCTGCATGAAGCCTTTCCTGATCTCCCCAATGGCTGGTTCCAAATACTCCTTCCCCAAATACTTTGTGTTTAACTACTGTGTATATATTTGTATTTCTTCATTTACACACACACACACACACACACACACACATATACATACACACATATATATTAAGATAGGTACTTGTCTCCTCCTTTCAAGAAGGTACTATTTCATTCTTCACGTTTCTCAGGGCCTAGCACATAGTAGGTCCTTAATCAATCACTGTTGATCGATTGATAATCAACTCAGTTCTAAAGGACATCATGATAAGATCATAGATTTAGAGCTAGAAAGGATAATAGAGATTATCAAGGTTAATGCCAATAAAATAAAGTGAAAAGGCAAGAGCCCTGGACCAGAGACTAAGAATCAGAAAACACAGGTGTCAGCTCGGATTCTGCCATTTATAGGAGTTAGCTTAGTAGGCACTTAAGGAGGGTGAGGCAGATTGCACTGAATGAACTTTAAAAAAAAACCCATCGTTTTTTCATCTATAAAAGTAAAGTAACAACACCTGAAGGATGTAACGCCCTCTCTTCTTTGCAGAGGTGGGGGACTACAGGTATAGAATACTGAACGTATTATTGGGATCGACTGACATATCCATTAGTCTCGCTGAACTAATTTTTTTTCCTCATTTTTGTTTTGTCTTAAAGGATGGCTCTAGGGGTAGGGGATAAGAGAGAGATGTATTGGGAAATGAAAACGATATAAAAACAAAGGATTTTTGCTGCTGTTCATTCATTCACTTGCGTCCAGCTCTTTGTGACCCCACGGACCACAGCACACCAGGCCCTTCTTTCCTCCACTACCTCTCAAAGACCGCCCAACCTCATGTCTGTCGTTTCCACTATCTATCTGCCATCCCCTTTTTCTTTTGTCTTCAAGCTTTCCCAACACCAGGGTTTTTCCCAATCAGTCCTGTCTTCTCATTATGTAGCCAAAGTATTTAAGCTTCAGCCTCAGTATTTGACCTTTCAGGGAATAAAAGGGATTAAATTTCTGATTTGATCTCCCTGCTATTCAAAGGACTCTCAGAAGTCTTCTCCAGCATCACAATTTGAAAGCATTGATTCTGTGGTGCTCAGCTTTCCTTATAATCCCAACTCTCACGGTCATACATTGCTACTGGAAAAACCATGGTTTTGACTACCAATACATTAAAAAATAAATTACATTATTCTTTAAAAAAAGAATCATAATAAATATAGCACTTTGAGGTTTGCAAAGTGACTTAAAAACATTTATAACAACCCTGGGAGGGAAGGAGGTGCTATTATTATCCCCATTTTACATTTGAGGAAACTGCGGCAGACAGAGGTTAAGTGACTTTCTCAGGGTCACAAGGCTAGTAAGGGTCTGAGGTTGGATTTGAACTCAGGTCTTCCTAATTCCAGGCCTAGTGCTCTACCTACTGTACCACCTAGCCTGTTTCATAGAGGTGTTGAGGTCATATCTATAGAAGTGTTTCGAATACTGCAGAATGCTACACAAACGTAAGGGATTCTGATGATAAAGTTACACGTCATCTCACTGAGCACAACCCTCGAAGGGAGGTGCTACAGACACTCATCCCTATTTTACAGATGAGAAAATTGAGGCTCAGAAAAGTTAATTTATTTGCCTAGGGTCACACAGCTCATAAGCACCAGAGGTGACATTTGAACTCAGGGCTAGACCAGTGCTCTCTTCTTTTCTCCATATACATGTGGAGGTCTTTAGATCCAGAGTCAGGAAGGCCAAGGAGAGCCACTTATCTCTGAGATCCTGGGGCCTTCATATCTTGGTGCCTCAGGCTCCTTATCTGTGAAATGAGGGAGCTAGACTAGTTGACTCTTTTCCAAGCTTTAACACTGTAATTCCATTACCCTATCTAGAGACAGCTCAGTTCTCTTGCACTAGTTTGGGGAAAAGGTTCCAAAGGTGTGTCCTGGGTTGCCCTTTGGTATGGGAGGTTCATGGCAAGGGACAGAAAGGTGGGGGGAGCAGGTGAGCCACAGATACAGAAGATGACCCCAGTGCACTGTTTAATGGACTGAAATAGGATTTAAAGTGACAGTCTGACACCTTACTCTGTCCGGACCTCCATTTCCTCACCTGTAAAATGAGGAGGTGGGACTAGATCTCTTAAAATCCTTTTGTGCAAGAAACAAATAGGTTAAACATTAACCCCTCACCCCACAAATCCTTCATGCAATCCATTCCACAGGTTTCTAACCTGCCTATTAGAGAATTAGACTCTTTAACATATAGGTACATTAATATAGTACCACTAATCAATAGTAAAACCGAAAGACAACCATCTTCAACCACAATAAGATAATGACAATTTTGTTGTAGACCAAAGTCTCAAGGCCAGGGTAACATGGGGCATGGTTTCTGTAGTCATTACTAGCTATTACTATTACTACTGTTACACTTACTAGCTGTGTGACCCTGGGCAAGTCACTTAAGCCTGTTTGCCTCAGTTCCCTCATCTGTAGCTGGAGAAAGAAATAGCAAACCACTCCATTATCTCTGCCAATAAAGCCCCAAATGGGGTCACAACTGAAAAATGACTGAACAAAAGTCATTACCCACGAAGCTAAGAGGGCAGAACAACTCTGCCATCTTGGTTATGTGGCGCCCAGCCTACAGTCCCAGCAGCAGGGCCTCACGGCTACTGGGAATTTCTGGCCTCCAGAGACCAACCACACGGCCTAACTAGTTGTGTCGTTTGGAAGCTTCACCCCAAGCTCTCAAGCACTTTGCACCCCATTCCAGAGCCTGAGTAGCAAGAATGTACTTTGACCAAAAAGTCACCCAGTCACTGGCCCAAGAGCCACGATCCTCTGAATGACTGAAGGGACTGGTGATGCAGTAGATGGGATTCTCTCCAGCATCCCAAGGCTAGTCTCTGCCCTTCTCTAGCTCTCAGGGGAGGATTGCATAGACGACCTCAGAGGTCCCTTCCAGCTGTGAAGCCACGGTCTCAGGACCCCGTGAACCAGACAGTGTTTAACCCAAGGCTGCTGTGACGCGTATGAGACCTACCCATTAACAAGGCCGTGATAGCAGGATGATGGAAAAGGCACGAAGTATGGAGTTGGAGGATGTGGGTTCATATCTCTGACCTCAGTTTCCTTATCTGGAAAAGGGAGAACCGGCAGCACCTCCCTCATAGGCTGCCCCAACACTCCGATGACTTGATGTGGGGCTCATTTGCCCGCTTTGCAGTCTCTCAGACACGTTAGCGGGCAGCTGTGTGCTGTTTCTGCCCAAGGTCGCGCGGGTAATTAGTAGCCATGTAATTTAACAGTAGCCATGTAAGAACGGGATTAGATTCCAATCTTGTTCTCTCCTCTAAAGTGCATTGACTGTTGAAATGACAGCTCACATACAGAGAGTGAACGCGCCAGCTGAGACAAGGAGTCTCCCCTCATCCCTTGAGCCCAAGAGCCTTGGGAATGTCCATGCCTACAGCCCATGCCCTCACATATCATCCTGAGAAGCAGCCCCACTTGGTCTGCCCCTGGCCCCTGCAGGTATTGCAGCCACACCTCCTAAAGACCCAGAAAAGAAAGGGCTTCTCACCAAAGTCCTTAGCCCTGTTTAATCTTTTACCATCAGAAATAGATATGATTTTATCAGTGGAAAGGACATTTAAAAAGCGGCATTACCACCTGCTTGGTGATTGCCCCATAAGGATCATGGGAGTTTTCTATCTGACTTGCAGCCAGTTAAACACCAAAACTAAAATTTACATATTAAGAGGAGAGATGAATGTTTCTGGATCCTCACACCTAGTGTGTTAACTCTCCCTCCCCAGCTCTTAGACTAGACCATCTTATTTAACCCATCTCTCTTAAAGATGAGGACTCAGGGGTCCAGATCACACAAGTCAGGGGAGTAGCTCCTGACCCCACAGCCCAGTGAATTCTTTCCACCCTGCCATACTCCCACCCTTCTCTCATACTCATCCTTTGCCTTCCGTCCCCATAGCCAATCTGCCCTTTGGAATGTCTCTCTGATTCCTTCCCTATTCCTTCTGTCATGTCCCTGTTCCTGGCCTCCATCCCCATCTGCCTAGGACACCCAAACAACCTTCTACCAATTTATAAATCCTACCTCCCAGCATCTCCCCTCTCCAATCCATCTTCCACGTCACTGTCAAACTAAGCATCCCAAGACACTACGTTGATCTCTAAACTGAAAGCTCTCTGTGGACAAAGACTATGTCCCAGCACCTTTCTTAAATTAAGTAAGCACCTAATAAAGTCTGCTGGATTTAATTCAGCATTGCTCCCTTGCTCAAAAATCTTCAATGGCTCCCTACTGCTCAGAAGATAAAGTCCAAACTCTGTCATCAGGTTTTCAAGGATCCCTAAACCTGACACTGGCCTTCACTTCCCACCACTTCCCACCACTTCCCAACTTTCATCTTCTCATCTAGTAAGAGCACTCTTCTCATACGACCCCTATATACACCCTGCTGACTCACTGATGTTCTCCTACCCTTAACTGCCACACTATGTAAGAATAAATGAATGATGAGCATTTATTAAGTATACGCCAACTGTATGCCAACCACAAGAATATAAACAGAAAATGGGGACAAGAGCTCTTTCTCTTCTAGTAGGCAGAGACAACCCTTACAGGTGAATGATGACTGAGGAAGAGAGTTTGGTTTGGGGCAGGTCACTGGGATGCTGAGCAGAGACACAAGCCGTCCCTCCCTTTCCATAATCAATGCTGGTACTGATTTGATTACTGTGCCCAGAGCAAGAGGTAGACAGGAGGAGGCAGGAGGGGAAGGTGGAAGGGTGGGAGGGATGGGAAACAGAGTCTGGTCTGGTGGCCTGGGGCTGTCTAAATAGAGCCGCACTCCATGAGTCAGCACCCACTCAGCTAGCAGGATGGCTTGGCCTGGATAAATGGCTTTCCACTCATTCCCATGTGTACATCCAGTCGCGAAGTAGATTTGAATCTGTAGGAGGACAACGTTCACTTTAGACGCTTTTAGAGGAGTATTTAGAGGGGCCACAGTAGGTATTAAATAGTTGACTGGCTCTTCAGAAAGTCTGCCAATTTAGTCTGGCAGCAAGATACTGTGTGATGAGAAGGCAGGACCAAACTTTAAACGCAATCCAGACACTTGCAGACATGCGGTTTTCAGCCTGACTCTCAACTTATTCTAATGCAGTTTCTTGATCATTTTGTGTGTCCTGGCCCCCTTAGGCAGCCTGGCAAAGCCTATGGACTCCTCAGAATACAGTTTTATTTTAATGCATAAAATAAAATCCCTTTATTTTACTGGTCCTGGAATTGAGTAACAGGAACTGGAAATGAAGGCAGCATTTCTTAACCTGAGGTCCATACACTTGTTCTTCAAAAAAAATTGTCATCAATGCATTTCACTTTCATTGGAATTCTATGTATTTTATGGATTTAAAAATATGATTCTGAGGAGGGGTTCCCAACCTGCCCTAGGAATCCAGGATACAAACAAGGTTAAGAACCCCTGGCCTGGGTGACCCCTGACACCTTTTCTAGCTCTAAATGTGTGAGGGGGTGGGAGCAGAAGGCATCTCGGATCCTCTGATTCCCTGTGGAGGCAGAGGGCTCCTGGATCTCAGCCTGCCTATTCATTGCTACGTCTGGTATCCGTGGCTGATGAGCACGACCCCACTTTGAGGTTTTACCTTCTCACCCATTCTCTTCTTCCTTCCCTTTACCCCTAGCCATCTCTAACCTCCTGGTTCCCATCCATATAATCATAGATTTAAGAGCTGGAAGATCACCTAGTCCATCTTCCTCAGTTTCTGGAAGCCAAGGAAAGTGACGTGATATCTCTAAAGTCATGGGGCAGCTAGGTGGTGCCATGGTACATAGAGTGCACCAGGCTTGGAGTCAGGAAGACTCATCTTTGTGAGTTCAAATCTGGCCTCAGACACTTACTAGCTGTGTGACCCTGGGCAAGTCACTTAACCCTGTTTGTCTCAGTTTCCTCATCTGTAAAATCAACTGGAGAAGGAAATGGCAAACCACTCCAGTATCTCTGCCAAGAAAACTCAAATGGGGTCACAAACAGTCAGACACAACTGAAACGACTGAACAACAAAGTCACATAGCTATTAAGTAGCGTAACGGATTCAAATCCAGGTTGTCCAACTCTACACCTCTTTCCACTGTTCTATGCTTGATTGAGGAAGAATCTGATTTTTCCTTTAAATTGCTTTTAATATGTGAGCAGTAAGTTAATAGCAAAGTTTGTTTCCTACAGGCTCACCGGGCCACCCAGGGAGATTCGGTAACCTC